CATATCGCAGTTCGACAAAATCACCGCACAGTGCATTTTTCGAGCCTCTCGGAATCCTTCGATTGCGACCCCGCTCGATTGCGACCTCGCATCGATTGCGACCCCGCATCGATTGCGACCCAAAATGGGGTAAAGCGACCCCGGGATGAAAATTCCTCGATTCTCTTCGGGAAAAACTTGCTTTAGGGGTTTTCGAGGGTGCTGATTTCGAAAATGATGTTCATTTTTCCTCTAGTACTACATAGTGCTGTCTGATACTATATAGTACGAAGTGAAAATATCGCTTTTGACGTTAAATACTCGATTTAGGGGTTTTCGAGGGTGCTGATTTCGAAAATGATGTTCATTTTTCCTCTAGTACTACATAGGACTGTCTGATACTATATAGTACGAAGTCAAAATATGGCTTTTGACGTTAATGGTGTTGTTTTGATGCTTAGTACTCTTCAAAAACACGTTTTAAAGGCTTGGTGCTATATAGTACTGTCTGATACTATATAGTACGAAGTAAAAATAGGCGTACTAAGCACCAGAACAACACCACGAACGCCTAAAGGCCAACTTTAACCTCGTACTACATAGTATCAGATAGTACTATATAGCACCAAGTCTTTAAAACGTGTTTTTGAAGAGTACTAAGCATCAAAACAACACCATTAACGTCAAAAGCGATATTTTGACTTCGTACTATATAGTATCAGACAGTACTATATAGCACCAAGCCTTTAAAACGTGTTTTTGAAGAGTACTAAGCATCAAAACAACACCATTAACGTCAAAAGCGATATTTTGACTTCGTACTATATAGTATCAGACAGCACTATGTTGTACTAGAGGAAAAATGAACATCATTTTCGAAATCAGCACCCTCGAAAACCCTTAAAGCAAGTTTTTCCCGAAGAGAATCGAGGAATTTTCATCCCGGGGTCGCTTTACCCCATTTTGGGTCGCAATCGATGCGGGGTCGCAATCGATGCTGGGTCGCAATCGATGGAATTCAGCCTCTCCGCGACAAAGCTTTCGCACAGTGCAATTTTTATTTTTTTGCACGGTGCATATCGCAGTTTGACAAACTCACCGCACAGTGCAGTTCCATAGGCTTTTTCGCACTTGCCTTCCGCACTGTGCAATTCCATAGGCTTTTTTGCACTAGCTTTTTGCACCGTGGATTTTCGTCTCGAATATCGCTCAAAACTGCTGGGAAACGAACTCCGAATATGGAATTCCGACTCATCGTCGGCCGGAAGGCATTTTTGAGCCCGAATTGGGCATACATTAGCCGTCTTCTCGGGTTTCATTTGTTTACAATTGGGCCGCCCTCTTCTTTCGCATTAACGGAACAGATGGGGGTTTAATAATACGAACACGATTATGGAATGAGCTTTTGGCGGACATCTGCCGATTATTCGGATTGATTGTGACGATTTGGAAGTGGTTTGGGAAAGATTCGGATTTTTTTTTGGATTTTTTGGATAAAAAAATCAAATTTATGATCAAATTTTTGTCTAATATTAGTCAAAACAATATGAATATTGGTTTAGCACCTCAAAAAACCCGGATAAATCGAAAAATGCCTGAGGCAAAAATTTTAAATTTTGATGAAAATTTGAAAAAAATTAAATTTAAATATTCCAAACACCCCCATATATGTTTTAAAAAAATTTTCAAGATTTTCCCTCAGGGTATTTTCTCGAAATTTTCGAAATTCTCTGACTAACCGCCAAAACAAGGGTAATTTCTCTTTATTTTTCGAAATTCCCAGTGCATTGGAGTGAGAGAAGTGACGGAATTTTTTTATTTTTTGGATGACTCATCGTTCCAGGCCGTTCCGAAGAAAATAAAAAATCCGTTGGACTTTTTCTCAAAGTTTTTTTTTCGGATTTTTTTCAGTCTCAGGTCATTTGACTTCGAAAGTGCGTCGGCCTGACTTTGAAAGAGGGATTTGGTTATGATTTTCGAGTTTTATCTGTTCAAAATTGTGAAAAAGCACTTTTGAATTCAAAATTTTTTTGATTTTTTTAATTTTTTAGTTCAAAAAATTGCGATTTTAAAAACTAAAATGGCCAAAAAGATACCCTGAGGGTCCAGGATTACTATTTTATAATTTTTCCCCAAAATTTTCCGCTATTTCCCACTTATTTTCATCAAAAAATCCGGACCGCACAGTGCGAAATTTTTACGTTTCGATTTCCCGCACTGTGCGAAATTTATTTTTGGTGCACAGTGCAAGGATAAAGTTTCATAATTTTTTTGCAAGTGCAAGTCAAAAGTTTCGTTTCATTTGATCGCACAGTGCGAAATTTTTACGTTTCGATTTCCCGCACTGTGCGAAATTTATTTTTGGTGCACAGTGCAAGGATAAAGTTTCATAATTTTTTTGCAAGTGCAAGTCAAAAGTTTCGTTTCATTTGATCGCACAGTGCGAAATTTTTACGTTTTGATTTCCCGCACTGTGCGAAATTTATTTTTGGTGCACAGTGCAAGAAGTGCGAAGAGTTGTCGCGCAAAAGGGGGAACTCGGAAATGCACTGTGCGGAAGGAAAGATAAAAATTGCACAGTGCAGTTTGTCGCATAAAGAAAAATGAGGATTTGCACGGTGCAAAGGAACACGAAAATTTTTTTTGCACTGTGCGAAAACGAAAATCTGCACAGTGCAAGGGTTGTCGCGGAAAAAAGTTGCTTTGCACAGTGCGATGAAATTTTCCTTGTTTTCATCTCACTGCACCGTGCGTTTTCTCCGCACTTTTTCTCCCGCACAGTGCAGTCAAAAAAATGCACAGTGCAGTTTGTCGCAAAAAGAAAAATGATGATTCGCACGGTGCAAAAGGGCAAGAAATTTTTTTTGCACTGTGCGAAAACGAAAATCTGCACAGTGCAAATGTTGTCGCGGAAAAAGTTGTTTTGCACAGTGCGATGAAATTTTCTTTCTTTTCATCTCACTGCACCGTGCGTTTTCTCCGCACTTTTTCTCCCGCACAGTGCAGTCAAAAAAATGCACAGTGCAAATGTTGTCGCGGAAAAAGTTGTTTTGCACAGTGCGATGAAACTTGCTTTCTTTTCGTCCCACTGCACCGTGCGATTCCACCCCACTTTTTCTACCGCACAGTGCAGTCAAAACAGCCCGTTTCCGTTAATTTTTTCGCTAAAACACCCCATTCCCAGACTAATCGGGTCCGGAAATTTGCTTAATCAGCTCGTGATACCAATTTTCCATCTGATTACATCGGATTTCAAGGTCATTCCGCTCTTTTTCGAGCTTTTTTCGGCTTCGAACGTATAAAAAAGCGCAAATTCGAATGCAAAGTCCCCGTTCGAGCGGCTAGCAACTCTTCTTTTCCGGTATTCTCTATTATTCACAAGTCTGTGGGGCATTATGACGATGTTTTCGTCACGGCGAATAAATCTTGCACGAATTAGCACGCTTTTGTGTCGCCTTTTATGCGATGCCGCCGGGAAATCGGGGGGTTCGTCCGCTCTTTGGAACGGCTCCCGGATGAATGGAGCGCAAAAGTTCGGGATTTGCGGCTTTGAACAGGTCAAGTTGTCCGCGACCTGCGCCCAGACGAGTCTCGAATTTTGCGACAAAGTTGGTCGAAAATGTTTCCAAGAGCTACTATGTATTTAGTTGAGTTATGTTCAACGATTTTCTGGCGTTGAAATTATCGTAATGCAAAGATATATTACAATTGTTCGTAATAATGTGACCTTTCCGTGGATAATGTTTCATATCGCGATGATTAAACGGAATCCTTTTGTTAGTCACACCAAAAACAATCGAGAATGCTGTTAGCCGGAGATTCGCGAAGTTTCCTGTTTACAATCTGCGATTAATAGTATTTTTTTTGGATTATAATATTATTCTTGACATCAGATGTAAAAACGTTGATATTTTAATCCCTAATGGCGGAAATCGGAAAAGCCTCTTTGAAAATCTTTAAAATTATCCTCTGTTGTAATTCGCATCTTCGAATTTACAATTTGCGCTCGAAAAGTAAAACTTTTCTAGCACGAAAATGTTGTGATAGGTCAAGAATAACAACTCTTCGATTCGGATGCTCATCGCGCATAAATCTTCAAATCGCTCTTTGAAAACTTCTGTTTTAGCTTATTCTGTCTTTTTACATTTTCACTTTACTCCATTTATTCCATAATCCACAAAACAAATGAGTTTTCTTAATTTTTTCGGTTTCAGTCTCGGGCGCAGTCTGCCGCAAAAATCGCGTGAGCCAAATCCGTCTCCGTTCCTCTTCTGTTGCTAAAAGTTCTAGGTCTTTCGGCGGGCGAATGAGTGGATTTCTCTCGCAGTTCCCGTCTGTAAATTATGTTTTTTGCGGTATCAGAGAACCCTTATCTTCTTCTTCCCGCACTTGCTTCGATTTCGTATCAAAATTTCGAATTTCTCGCCGAAAACCGCCGTTTTCACGTGAATTCCCGAAAATTATGCCAATTCCCGGCCCAAATACAATCTGTAATTTTGCCGAACGTGTTCTACGTCCAATTTCCAACAAAATGAGGCCATTTCCATTCGGTTTTCATAAATTTTCCATCAAAATTTTGACGGATTTCTTCATGCAATACTTGATGTGCGGGAGAGCTCTCTTTGCTCCCCGTTTCCCTTGTTTTCACGTGATTCAGGGCGTTCCGTGGTGTAGAACGAGCCCGGCGGTTGGTCTTTCAGTGGGTTTCGGGGCAACGCACGGGTTATTTGCATCGAAATTTTGATTGGTGGTAAAATGATATTGTTGATGTTTTTTTGAAGAATTTGGTGTGCGTTTTCTTGAAATCTAGACTTTGTTTGCCTGAAGATGGGATGGTTATCGATTATGCCCGTTTTTTTAGAATTTAATTGGCATTTCGGGCTATTTTTTATATTGTACATGACGAATCTCCGCGAGAAACTGATATTCCCGATAAAATATGTGGAAATTGAGTCAACTTTTGATGCTTTCAGATTGTTCAGAGTTCCTTGAACCGGTAAACCAAAGAAGAGCAGGCAGCCATGTCGTTAGCCGGCCTCAAAAAGCAGTTCAACAAGGCCAATCAGGTAAGAATTTTTTTATTTGTTTGCTTCAAGTTTAGGTAAAGGTACTTTATGAACTGCTAATCAGTTCTGCATCAAAAAACTTCTATGTTTCCGGCTTTTGAGGGGAATGCCGGCCATTTTTATGTTGTACTAGGTATTTGGTCTAAAGTGATCTAAAAACGAGTAAAAATCTATATTTTTTTGTTTGTAAGGCTGATAAAATGTAAAATCCTTGTAGTAAAAGTAATAATTTGTCTATTCCAAGCTGTTGGCATATAGAAATCACAGATTTTTCTTCTGTTGCTATGTGTAATATAAAATCTTTTGTTTCAGTACCTCAGCGAGACGATGGGGGCGGCCGAGGCCACAAAATTGGATGAAGAGTTTAATGAGATGGAGAGAGTAAGTCAATCTGCTATATTTTTTGAATTTCTTCCACTTTTAGGTATTATCTTATCCTTGACTGACCCTTCAAATTTCAGAAGATAGATCTCACGTATGAGCTGGTTGGCGCCCTGACGGCTGGGACCAACGAATATCTGCAGCCGAACCCGGCGACCCGCGCCAAGATGGCGGCGATGGGAGCGATGAGCAAGGTCCGAGGGACGACCAAGTCCCAGTCCTATCCGCAGACCGAGGGTCTGTTGTCGGAGACGATGGCCAAGTATGGACGCGGCCTTGGCGACGACTCGGACTTGGGCAAAGCGTTGGTGGACGCGTCCGAGGCGTTCCGCCAAATGGCTGACATAAAATATCAGCTGGAGGATGTGGTCAAGCACAATTTCCTCGATCCCATCACACACTTGTTGAACAATGAGCTTAAGGATGTGAATGTAAGTGGGTGTCGCTGCGACTTGTAGCTGATTTGTTGGATTTGGACTGCTTTTATTGTCGAGGGGAACACTTGACTCGAAACCGAAGGGTTTGGGTCAAGTGTTTCCCTCGACGGAAACTGGCGGAGTTTCACCCGGAAATGTGTATAATTGAAGTTTATACAAATTTCTGGAATAAGAGACAAAATTTTTAGTTATTTTCTGCTTGTTTGAATAGCAGATTATGCTTTTTTTGAAAATTTTTGGTCAGTTTTTCACATTTAATTTCAGTCGCACCGTGCGAAACTGAAGGGCCGCCGACTGGACTATGATTGTAAAAAGCGAAAGCAAACCCGAGACGAAGAACTCCTCCAAGCCGAGGAAAAACTCGAAGAATCCAAACGACTCACCGAACAGGCCATGTTCAATGTCCTGAGCAATGATGTAAGTCCAATTTTTATTTTGTTTTTTGCTTTTTAGGAAATTTGAGCTCCTTTTGTTCTATTGTAAGAAGTTCTGAATCCATCTTTCAAATTTGGTCATAATTTTCGACCTTATTTTAGGTGGAACAGATCTCTCAATTGAAGGCGTTGGTTGACGCCCAACTCGACTTCCATCAACAGACTCTGCACGTCCTGGAGAACCTCAAAGGCCAACTGGACAACAGGGTAAAGGAGTGCTGTTCGAGACCGAGAAGAGATCATTCGGTGAAGCCGGTTCTAATGGATCGGACACCAAGAAGCAGGTAAGAAGTGTATTTATTTGTTGTAGTTTAGTGTGAAATTAGGAGGGCATAGTGGTAAGACGGTTTGGAAAATACCAGTCCGTGGAATCAGTCGTTTTTCAAAGGCTTTTGGTGATTTTTCGTATATTGTTTTAGATAGAAGTGGGTGATTTGAAACGGCTGTGGTTCGAAAATGGTTGAAGATAGAGCCTTCAATTTTGGAGGACTGTTAATAGGACCTCCAAAGATTTTGACTTCAAAAAATGAAGATTCGGGCTTGATGATTACTGTAATTATGGGTCATTTTGTCAAAGGTTGTTTTTTGATGTCAATTTAATTTTTTTTTTATTTTTGAGGTTATCACTGCAAATTGATGGTTGATCTGGTGTGTAATTAGGATGATGCAGTAGTAATGAAAATTGTAAAATACGGGTTTGTTAAATTTTGAGACCCTTCGGTAATTTTTCGGATATTGTTTTAGATAGAAGTGGGTGATTTGAAATGGCTGTGGTTTGAAAATGGTTGAAGGTAGAGACTTCAATTTTGGAGGAGAGCTAGTAGGACCCTCAAAGATTTTGGTTTCAAAAAATGAAGATTCGATGTTGAGGATTACTTTAATTTTTGGGGCATTTTGTGAAAGCCAAATTTTTAAGTCAGTTAAAAAAAAAAAAGATTTTTGAGGTTATCACTGCAAATTTATGGTTGATCTGATGTGTAATTAGAAGGATATAGTGGTAAGGAGGTCTGGAAAATAGGAGTCCATCGAATTATTTGCTTTTTTAAGACTTATGGGGATTTTTTCGGATATTACTTTAGATAGGAGAGGGTAATTTGAAATGCCTGTGGTTTGAAAATGGTTGAAGTTAGAGACTTCATTTTTGGAGGACGGTTAGTAGGACCCTCAAAGATTTTGACTTCGTTATATGAAGATTCATCGTTCAGGATTACTGTAATTTTTGGGCGTTTTGTATAAGCCAAATTTTTGATGTCAATTTAAAAAATTTTTTAATTTTTGAGACTGTCACTGCAAATTGATGGTTCTGAAGGATAAATTATGAAATAACTGGCCTAGTATGACTTGTTACACTATTTTTTTGATTCAGTTTATTGTGAAAGTAACATTTTTTTTGTTTTTTTTAATTTTGATGCCATTTTTTGGTATAAATTTTGATTTTTCAGATCTCCGGTCTCGGGCGTGGTCGCCGGCACCAACAATCTCAACTTCAACGACGCCCCCGCCGCTCCGCCGGCCCAGAACGGCGGCACCGCACACTTTACGCCGAGCGCAGCGCCCGCGCAAAGCAAACCCCAGCCCACCTGTAAAGCGCTCTTCGATTTCGAAGCCCAAAACCCCGGCGAGTTGGAGTTCAAGGAGGGCCAAATCGTGGAGCTGATCAGCCAGGTGGACGAGAACTGGTACGAAGGCCGGGTGAACGGAAAGACCGGCTTCTTCCCCATCTCTTATGTCCAGGTCCTGGTGCCGCTGTAAAAAAAAAACACCGCCGAGATGGGCGCAATTCTCTCATGTTACTTTTTTTTTGTCTGGATTTCTCTTTGAAGTATTTTCTAGACGAGAATTGACGATATTATTCATGATTTTTGGATGATATTATCCATGATGTCAAGGATAATATCGGACTCTAGAACACCTTTTTTTGGCCATTTTTTTGTTCAAACTCGAATTAGTTTTCCATTTTAACACCGGAAATTTGAATTGAAAGTTTATTTTAGTTCTTAAAAGATGATGATTTTGAGGTTACTGTAACTTTTCCCCCAAAAATTTGGATTACTGTAATTTTCGAAAAACTACAGTAACCCACCCTCAAAATCGAGCAATTTGCAAAACCCTAGTGAACTCACTTATAGCATCAATCGTTTGCTCCACAGTCAAGAACATCTTGTCCCTTTTTAAAACCGTCTTGTCCACCATTATATTTGTCTCCTATTTATGTAACTTAATGTATGTTTTTAGTCCATTTGTAGAGATAACCCGACCAATTTCACCTATTTTACTAATCAGTCTTCTCCCAACTTGACTTGAATTTCATACTCATTTTCATAGTTTATATTGTCAATAAACGTTAACCATTTGGAAAAAAAATGTTTTTTTTTTGGTGATCTGGGGGTTTTTGAGCCTCTGAAATATCGTTGATGAGAAAGAAGAGGAAAAAAAATATTTTATTTTCTACGATTATCGTCCAAAAAACGTGCCATTTTGCATCCGGGAAGTATCAAAAAATGTGGCAAAATGCCTCCCTCTCCAACTAAAAAAGCTATGCAGGGGTGGCAAACGGGCCTCTTTTTCCAAATTTCAGGCCCGGGGCCCGGCAAAATCCCAGGCCCGGCCCGGTTCAAAATTTTGCAGGCCCGGACCCGTAAAAGACCGGTTAGGGCGCGAGCTGGAAATTTTTCTTTGATCTTTCCGGCTCTGTGGTGCTAAGATCTGCTAAGAACTATCCTATATGTATTATATGTTCTAATTTGGACCTTATATTATAACATATATGCAAAAAAGTACTATAAAGCAATAAACTATTGTAGAACTTGATATACTAAAAATACAAACCTATCCAAAAATTTTTCCAGCGCGAAAACATTGAATGCCAAACGCTTGGCATTTCGACAAAACCGGGCCGGGCCTGAAAATGGCTCAGGCCCGCGGCACGGCCCGGTAAAAAGCAGGCCCGGTCGGGCCAGGCTTCGCCGGCCCGGCCCGGTGGCCACCCCTGAAGCTATGGTATTTCGTGGCGGTCCGGCCTCGAGAGAGCAAAAAAAATGAGCAAAGTGTAGAAGTCGAAAGGAACAGGATTTTAAGCCGCAAAATTGGCCGCAAAAAGTTGTTCCTGAAACCCACAGATGAATTTGACACATCTTAATCAGTGAAATTAAAAAAATGCCTATTCCACGGCTGCTTCAAGGCCTCAGAAACCGTTGAACATTACAAACCGCAAAACTGTAGCTTCACCACGATGCTACAGAACCGCGAAAGGTTTTTAGGCCGGTTAGACGCTGCAGGCTCGTACACTGTGTGTACATTATTGGCCTTGTGTTTTGTTAGGTTCTTCTTTATGTTTAGTTATCATTCAAATAGGTGGATCGCTGACGGGAATCGAACTGGACTGTTATGAAAGCCTCCGTCGTCTCATTGCCCCTGCGCTAAGCAGGGGCAATGGATGCGGAGCTTAAAAACGAACATATGCAAATCTCTTGCTGCAATGAGGTCCTTGCGCAAGCCGTCAGGTGTTACATCATAGCGCACGAGTTGAAAAGGTCTGCTGAGTAGAAAGGTTCGCAAAAAAAATTTTCTTACCCAATGGGATCTTGAGGGGGTTTAGGGCAATCGACCGTGCTGATTTCAAAAATCCAATCCACTTTTTAAAATTTCTACTTGTCTTTATTAAACAATAGTACTGTAAAGTAGTAATTTTGCCTCTGTAAAAGCACTTATCATCAAAAACAGCCAAGAGTTTGCTAGTTTACAGTACTGTTTAAGATATACAAGTAAAAATTAGAAAAAATGGATTGAATTTTTGAAATCAGCAAAGTCGATTACCCTAAACCCCCTCAAGATCCCACTGGGTAAGAAAAAATTTTTTTGCGGACCTTTTTGCTCAGCGGCCCTTTTCAACTCGTGCGTTATGATGATAACACCTGACGCCTTGCGCAAGGACCTCGCTGCAGCAAGGGATTTGCACATGTTCGCTTCGGAGCTCCGCATGCATTGCCCCTGCATAGTGCAGGTGCAATGAGACGACGGAGGCTTTCATAACAGTCCAGTTCGATTCCCGTCAGCGGCCCACCTATTTGAATGATAACTCATATAAAGAAGAACCTAACAAAAGACTCGCTGCAGCAAGATATTTGCATATGTTCGTTTCGGAGCTCCGTATCCATTGCCCCTGCATAGAGCAATGGCATGGTCGGCGTGAACCGTGAAATTTATTCGTCGCTGTGCGACACTTTTTTTGCGCGATGGCGCACCATACTAGGCGGGCCAAAAAGTCTTGACATGTTTTTGCACCGTGCGGACGCATGAATTCGGCGTTGCGACAAGGTGTCGCGCGATAAAACCTTTGGCGGGGTGCGAATGAAGAGCGCGCTGTGCGTTGTTTACCCTTCTTCAAAGCAATCTTTTTGCACTGTGCGGGGTCGCAGCGCACCGTGAATTTTTCTTATCGCAGCGCGACAAATTTCATGCACGACGGCGCACTGTGCAAAAATATCAAGACTTTTTGGCCCGCCTGGTACAAGCATGTCAAGACATTTAGGCCAACCTATCAGTCTGTCGGGAAAATAATGAGCACTCCGTCGCAAAGAAAGTCGAATTGCTTTTCACTATGCAGTACTATTTCCTGGCAAAGAAATGCGCACAAATTTGTCTTGTTTGTGTTATGTTTTTCCCGGCGAGCGTCGTGCAGACGGATCCATACAAGAAAACGGCATTCCGCGCGTGCTACAGTCCGAATCCGGTCCGCTCCTGCGAAGACGATACGTGAAGAGTTATGATCGGAAGTAAAACAAATAAGCAGACGGAAAGTTATGATCGGCAGCGAATCCAGAAAGCGGCGAAATCCGGTCGAATTCCGTCGTAACCGCGACATGGAAAAACCTGATGATGACGAGACCGAAGCGGTGGGGATCATAACGGAAGGATCATCCCGAGTTTTTGTTGACTAATTGTTATCGAAAGGGGCGCTGGATGCGCAGAAAAACACACCGAGTCGAGGAGGGAGAAAAAGTTTAGCGATCAAAAAGTGATCAGTAACGGAAGAGTCGGGAAGAAAAAAGTTGTGCTAGACAGAGGGCTCCACGAAGCTCAAGAACCAATTTCACGTCCATTAAATTATGAATATTGGCATTTTCACAAGGTGCCTGGACATGATTTTGCTTTCGCACAGTGCATGTTGAACCTTTGCCGCGAACGCACCGTGGATTTTTGCCTTTGCGCACCGTGCAAACCTCAAAAGAGCCGATTGAACTGTGCACATTTTCGATCAAAATCGCAGCGGCGCAGTTGGGAAAAGCCTACGTCGCAGCGATATTTCAAGCCCGCACCGTGCCAAAAACCCCCGTTTTGCACCGTGCAATTCACTCTGTTTTGGTTTTTGCACTGTGCATCGAAATATCGCTGCGATACGTAAGCAATGTTTCAACTACGTCGCTGCGTCAGCGTCGCGAATTTGCACAGTGCAAACGGCTGTGATGACGTTTGCACGGTGCGAAAAATCAATGCGTTTGCGATGGGAAAAAGTTTTTTTTGCCCATGCACTTTATGAAAATACTACCCCCCCCCTTCTCAGTCTGTCGGGAAAATAATGAGGATTTGTCGCAGGAAATGTCTCGTCGCAGTCGCGCACCAAATCTGCAGCCAAGCGAAGAGATGGTGGGCGATTCCACATTATTTCCACGACAGACTGACAGCGTGGGAGATTGTTTCAGAGATCATGTCGCTGACAGATTCTTGGAATGTTTCCAGTTTCCGCTCACGTGACCCGACCGAAACATGTGCATCCATCATATCGGTTATCCGAATTGAGCGCCATAACAATGCCGTCTTCGAAAGGTCAATGCAAAAACAAGCGCAGAACCAATTCTCCAGCATGATTGATGCAGATCATGCCGTTTTGTTGGGGTTCCCGCTTCCGGTTTAGTAATGTCAGTCTGTCGGGAAAATAATGTGGATTTCTGGCGGCTTGGAATTGCCCTTATTGGTTTGTGGCGGCTAGGAGATTTGGTGTGAGAAATTTTGCTGCGACAAGTCCACATTATTTTCCCGACAGACTGACAGTAGTACTATTGGGATCTAAATCAATTTCCCAGGAAATTCACATAAGCCAAGGACTATAAATGCTACCGTTCGATCGCAATTTCATTATTCTGTATCCCGATTTTCGGTTGAGTGTGCGCTTTGTCGTTCGTGCCAATAAATGTCTCTTTTCTACTTCGTTTTCTCGACAGACTGTTATCAGTGGCCATCTACAACTGCCTCGAGTCCGTATATCAGTCTGTCGGGAAAATAACGGCGGATCGTCGCAGCAAATTAGCTCATGTCGCCGCTATCGCGCACCAAATCCAGCTAGCCCTGGCAAAGCGATGATGGGCGATTCCAAGGCCCGAGAACCCGCCGTAATTTTCCCGACAGACTGATGTCAGTGGCGGACCTGATCCAGTGGCAAGAACGTACCATTTTGCATCCGGGAAGCATCAAAAATGCTGCAAAATACCTCCTTCTCCAAGTCAAAAAAACTCCGATTTCAAAGCCCGCTCTTTTTGTGAGGGCCCTTCTAAACGGAGGTTTTTTCACTTGGAGAGGGAGGCATTTTGCCACATTTTTTGATACCTCCCGGATGCAAAATGATACGTTCTTTGTGTTGGCGCTAAGCCCCAAATTTGCATAAGTTCGCCAATCCTCTATAAAAGACACAGATCTCATCATTTTATAATCACTTTTTCCTTCTGTGTGTCCAATAAAGACTCCTTCTCTTGGTCTTCTCGTCTTCCTCGACCGGTCGATCCTCAACTTCAATTCTTCTCCTGGCCTGCCAGTTTTACTTTGCCGCTGGATTAGGTCCGCTACTGTAGTGGATCATCGTGTTCTTGCTGCAGATTCCGTTGTCTTACGCATATGGCTTCATAATCATCACTTTGAGTGTTGAATTGAGTTCTCGCTAGCGAGACGGACTGTCTCGCCCCTCCCGAGGTCGACCTTTAGAAAACGGTTATTTTTAAAGCAAATCAATTACGTCCATCCGTCGCATCTTCCTCCCTCGTTCCGCTCCCGTCCAGCCGCCGCTCAACCGGATCGCCCTCCGGCGCGCAGGGGGCGGTATGGTGGTTGAGTTATGACGGCGTGAAGATGGGTATGACGAGGTCGAACGGTCATCATCCATGTGCAATCAAGCCCTCTCGCTCCACAAACAGTGGCGCGATAAAAGCCGTCGACGGCGTGGCACGCGTCTATTTGACTCCGCGACACACGAACCATGAGTGCGATGAGGGCGTGCACGTTGACTGCGTTGTGTGCAGTGGGCCTCCTGGTGCAGGTGGTCGCCATCCCCGTGGACAATGGGGTGGTGGGCGAGCCGGTGGTGGAGTGCGGACCGCACGCCATCGAGGTCACCTTTCAAACACAGTAAGCCCCATTTTTTGCGTTCTAATGCAGCTTACTGTAAATGCTAATTGCCATGTTTTCTTGACTTGTTTCATACTCGATTTCGTATGTTCAGAAACCCGTTCCACGGCCGTTTATATGTGAAAGGAAGAGCCGCTGATGGTGACTGTAGTAATGAACAGATCGGACGGACTTCCACGGGAATTACTTTGCCATTCGACGCCTGCAACGTCCAAAGACTCCGATCGCTGTGAGTTGCAGTGCTTTTTACTGTCTTCTTATACGGTACTATAGCATGTCGGGAAAATAATGAGCCTTCTGTCGCTTCGAAAATCGCATCGCCGTCGAGGAAATGAATTGCGTTGCGACAAAATAGAATTGCTTTTCACTTCAGCGACGCGGGGCGACATTATGGTGATCATTTTCCCGACAGATTAATACTGTGCGATAGTAGCAGTCAAACCAAGAACTCTTGGCAGGCTTTTACACGGCGCGGCGAAATGACTTTGCGCGACAAACGATCAGCACAGTGCGCTTTCTTGGCATGCTTTTGCACGGTGCGCTCGGCGCGGCGAAGTGACTCTGCGCGGCAACCAAAGTGCACGGACATTTTTTTGCTTACGCACAGTGCATTTTGAACTTTTTCCCACGCTTGTCGCCAGCGCACAGTGCATGTTCTCTTTCTGCACAGTGCAGCCCTAAAAAAGGCCGTTTGCACTGTGCGTTTTGAATTGTTTCCCACGCTTGTCGCCAGCGCACAGTGCATGTTCTCTTTCTGCACAGTGCAACCCTAAAGAAGGCCGTTTGCACTGTGCATTTTGAACTGTTTCCCACGCTTGTCGCCAGCGCACAGTGCAATCCCAAAAAAAGCAAATTGCACATAAACCTGCTTGTGTCGCGGCGATATTTCATGCACAGTGCAAAAACAAGAAAAGTGAAATGCACGGTGCAAAACGGGGAGATTTTTTGTACTTTACGGGCGGCGACAAATGTCCATGCACTTTATGAAAATACCAATTTCTGGGTGATTTTAGAAACCCTAAGGGGATTTTCGCCTCGACCACGGTTGTGATCTCCTTCCATCCGATTGTAAGTCCACCAAATTCGTTGCAATTTCCCAATCTTTTGTGTAGTTTGTAACCAAAGTGGATCGCGTCTACCACATCCAATGCTTCTACATGGAAGCCGAGAAGACGGTGAGCCAAAACCTGGACGTCAGCGACCTCACCACCGCCCTGGCGACGCATCTTTTGCCGATGCCGGTGTGCCGCTACGAGGTGTTGGACGGCTCGCCCACCGGGCAGCCGGTGCAGTTCGCGGTCGTCGGCCAGCAGGTCTACCACAAATGGACCTGCGACACCGACACCCAGAACACCTTCTGCATGGTGGTGCACACCTGTTTCGTGGACGACGGCGCCGGCGAAAAAGTGGAGCTGCTGGACGAGAATGGATGCGCCAAGGACAAGTTCCTGCTGAACAACCTCGAATATCCGGACGACCTGAATGCCGGCCAAGAGGCGCATGTGTTCAAGTACGCGGACCGAGCGCAGCTCTTCTTCCAATGTCAGGTGGCGTTGAGTTTGAAGGATGGGGCCACGGAATGCGCACGGCCCGGCTGTGCGGAGCCCGGGAATCGGGTGAAGCGACATTTGAAGAGGTGGGTTATTATCGTAGTTTTATACATAGCACTATAATATAATAGTAACAGTCTGTCGGGAAAATAATGAGCACTCTGTCGCATCCAAAAATCGTGTCGCCGCCGAGAAAATAAATTGTGTCGCGACAAAGTCAAATTGCTTTTCATCGATGCGATTTATACTCATTATTTTCCCGACAGACTGACAGAATGTCTTTACATGTTGCCGCGGTCCGCACCGTGCACAAAAACCTCCCATTTTGCACCGTGCATTCCACCATTTTTTGGTTTTGCACAGTGCATCGGAATATCGCGCTTTTTGTGGCTTGCACGGCTCGAAAAATAAAAAAATGCACGGTGCGTTCGTTTCGCGACAAACTTTTATCCGCACTGTGCAGCACTTTGCGACAACTTTTTTCATGCACGGTGCATATTTTTTTGCGTGGACATTTCCCCCACAATGCACTGTGCATTTTGACCTTTTTCCAGGAATTGTCGCTAACGCACAGTGCATTTTTATATATTTTCGCACAGTGCAAACCAAAAAAATGTCGTTTGCACCGTGCAAATTCTTCGGCAAACCTGCGGCGACGCCAAATGTTTACTTTTGCACAATTTTTTTTGTTTTTTGCACCGTGCAATTTCATAGGCTTTTTTAGAAAAAAGTCAGCTAACATCCAGACTTTTTTCGCACGGTTCGAGTCGCAAAAATTGCTCCCGCGACTTTGCGAACGGGCCTGTACTCCCTCAATGGGTTGTAATCACTTCCCTACCAGAGATTGCCACGGCTCCGGAGTCGGCTCTTGGCTCCGGCTCCGAGCCGAGAGCCGGAAATTTTGGGGTCGGCTCCGGCTCCCGAGCCCAAAGTCGGAGCCAGGCTTCCCAGCGGTCAGAAAAGTAAAAATTTCGTGATCTTGTTAAACCAAATTGCTTAAAACACGCTGCGGAGGATGTGACTTGACTGCAAAAACGTTGGCTGTATGATCTCTGGCACTAATAACTTTAATTTTTGGAAAAATATTTTTTAAAAAACATTTTGCATAGGAGCCGGGATTCGAAGCGGGGGGCCTTTTTAAATTTTGCACGGAGCCGGAGCTGCAAATTTGGCCTCGGCGCGAAATTTTGACCGTGGCAATCTCTGCTTCCCTACCCACATTTCCCTTTACCTGCAGCCTTTCTCACTCAATTTTCAGCCTCCCCTTGGACACCCTCAATTCCGTGGACGTCGCATCGCCAGAAATCACTGTTCTTGACGCCGACCTCGTCCACCATCAACCCGAACCCACAACCGACGTCTGTGTGCAGCCATCTCCAGTGTTATTCGTGGTTTTCGTTGGAGCCATAGCCTTGACAATTTTGGTCATCATTTTATTGGTGAATCGACGAAACTAGGTTCAAAATTCATGCCATTTTTGGAAATTTTTATGCCAAATCAGCGATCTCATTGCCTCTTTTGCCTAGCCATTTTCGATATAATAAAAAAATTTGATTCAATTTGGGGGTTTATTATTTATAAGTTACAGTAAGAACGAGGGAGAAATACGTGGTTCGAGAGCATGATAATGAGTTCGAAAAAGGGCTTCCACAATTTTTTTAGGTATTGGGAAGGATTGTCAACAAACACTTATAAATATTGAGGGGTAAACAAGACGAGGGATAGCTGAAATTACACTTGTCATCAAGTACAATGTCAGCTCAAACATTGGCCCTTAGATGGGCTTGATTTTGAAGTGGAGGCCCATCAGGGAGAAAACCAAGCACTTCAGGTCCTGGACCAAGTAGTAGAAGCAGCGGAGGCCATCCGCGTCCTCGCTGTCCTGCACATCCATCAGCGACCCAATCTTGGAGGTGGTGAAGGAAACGTGCTCGTCGCCGATCAGGATCTCCAGCTCTTGGCGGCCCACTCGGTCGGGCTCGGGCCATTTGTTGTCGTCTTCCTGGAAATCGCAGAATCATTTCCGATCTTCAACAAAATTTTTGCAAACAAATTTATCAGCTGTTATGAACCAAAAAAGTATAGTTTTTGGATGAAAACTGCATTTTTCGACCAATTTTTATATTACTTTAGATGGTTATAGGTGTTTTTCGGCCGAAAAAAGAGATTTTTTGTATTGAAAGCAGAGATTTTTTTGGCTGAAAATCAAGAATTTTCAATTTTTGACATAGTGACGGACCTGATCCAGTGACAAAAAAAGTACCATTTTGCATCCGGGCAGTATAAAAAATATAGCAAAATACCTCCCTCTCCAAGTCAAAAAAAAACTCCAATTTCAAAAGCGCACTAGCTTTCACGTGCGGGCCTTCAAAACGGAGTTTTTTACTTGGAGAGGGAGGCATTTTGCCACATTTTTTTATACTTCCCGGATGCAAAATGGTACATTTTTTGACACTGGATCAGGTCCGCCACTGTATCAAAAATTGAAAATTCTAGACTTTTCAACCAAAAAAATCTGCTTTCAATAAAAAAATAACCTTGTTTCGTCCAAAAACACCTATAACCACCTATTCGTCGAAAAAATGCAATTTTCCTCCAAAAACGATACTTTTTTGGTTCATAACATCTGTTTTCTGCTTCAACAAACCTTTTTCTCATCCAAAGAACCCTAAAAAAAACAACAAAAATCAAACTTCTTACCAACAAAATATCCGATTCCAGGACGATTCTCTTGAGTTCGGCGAGGACCGTCTTCGACACGACACACTCCTTGCGGATCAGGGTGTCGTTCTTGTAGTTGCTGTTGTTGGCGTACCGCAGCTTTCCATCGGGTCTGAAGTCGAATTCCAGGAATTCGTGACCGAATTTCCCCCGATGTCCCACGTAGTAACGGAGGTAAAAGCGGTCGCTGGAGCGGTCCTTCTTGGCTTCGGTGGTCTCTCCCATGCTTCACTGTCAAATTCAGGCTCTAAAACACAAAATTAAACTTCAAAAAATCACAATAAAATCTAAAATTTTACCAAATTTGACCTCATCAGGTCAAGTGTAATATAAAAATCTCTCCGAATCTTCGAAAAAACAATATAAAAAATAAAATCAAATGTATTTCAGTGCATTCAAACACTCTGGAATCTCCAATCTTCACAAAAATCCCAAAAATTAAACTTTTTACTCAAAAAATGCCAGTAAAATTAAAAATTAAGTAAAATTATAAATAAAAAGTCGTGAGAAAGAAATGCAAGACCATTAAAATCACTTTGCCGGGGGCTGAAATTAGAAGACATTCGAGGATTCGCGGGTTTCGAGACCAATATCCAGGGAAATCGACCCTCTCTTACCATGTGCAATATCTGAGGCCAAACAATTTTTTATGTCCATTTTTACAGCAGAAATTTCCCAAAGCTCACATTGTTCCTCAATAAAGCCAATGGTAAGGTGCGATCGGCAGAAAAAAATCAAAAAAATTACATGAAGATCATCAGTTATATGTTAAAATAAAAGTTAGATTCAACAAATTCTAGCGGTAAAACTTGACCCTACATTATCCACAAGCCACAAATTTTGAATTTACAACACAAAGAAGCTATTAAACACCATTTTCATTACATTACTATCTTTTTTCCCCAAAAAACATCAAAAATCTCTCTAAAATAATGTAAAATCAAGTCTCACGTGCTTCCAACAACTCTACAATATCCCTAACTCCTTTACAGCATCCTTTAAGACCTCTGAGACACCTTGCTGGCTTCATACCACATCATTTTGTTCATCCTTTGGCCTTTTTTGGCCCTCCAATCCAGCTGGAGAGGCCGGTCGTTTAAAGTTATGTCGGTTCCTCAGATCTCCGCCCTCCTTCTCTCCATCGTACAGCTCTCCATTGTCCTCGATGATGCCATCAGTTACAGCGTCGGGGAGTCGGACATCCGGATCGGCAGCATCGATAGCGGCAGTTTTGTCGATCCTTGTTGTAGGTGTGGCTAAAGTAATATAATCGTCAATAACCCGCCATTTGATTCTCTAAATCTGTAGACAATAAAAACAAAAACTCTTACCTTTCATTTGGACCGACGGCGCTGCATCCAACTGTCTGAGGGACTCAAAAATATCGATTGAAACCTTGTCCAAGTACTCCTTGGTGTTGTGATTGGGCATATTGGAAGGTGTGATATGAAGGAGGAAGTCCGGCCCGTAATAATCAATGTACGGGTTGTATGGAATGTCTGCAACAATATGACATTCAAATATATTCCCAATTCCACCTACTATTCGACAATTCCGTGTCCAAAGCTATCGAGGTCTCATAGGCCCAGCATCTCGCGACGTTTCGAATCGTATAACCGCCACCTCCCAGCATCAAAATGGGAACATTGAACTTCTTGAGGAACTCCAGACATCGCCCATGACCTTTCACCGTCAAATTGAAACACCCAAGTCGATCACCGGTCAACGAATCGGCGCCACATTGAAGGACGACAATGTCTGGTCGGAAATGCTCCATGACTTTGGTCATAACTGGCGCAAAAATCGATTCATAGGTGGCATCATCAATACCATCGCGAAGAGGGAAGTTCAGGGCGTGATATCGTCCTTCGCCAGCTCCAATGTCCTGAAAATATTCAATTTATAAGACATTTTCCAAAGAAGGTTAGGTCAATATCAAGTGTAATATAAAAATGGCCATAGCTTTTGATGCAGGGAACTATTTCGTATAAAATTAAGTTTTCTAGACTTATTAGGACATCTTCTTTCAAACCAAGTCTTGTTCATCCCTTTGGAAACCCTAAATCCAAACAAAATAATCAAAAACATTCACCCACCCGGATATCTCCTGTCCCTGGGAAATACTCTCCATACTTGTGAAAACTGCAGGTCATGACTCTGTCCGTCGTGTAGAATGCCTCCTCAACACCATCACCATGATGAATATCGATGTCTACATACAATACTCGCTGATGGTAATTCAGCAATTCCAAAATGGCTAGTACAATATCATTTGTATAGCAAAATCCGGAAGCTTCGCATTTCTTGGCGTGATGAAGCCCTCCCATCCAGTTTATTGCAATGTCAGCTTCACCGAGGTTCAATTTTGAGGCGGCGGCTGGAAAAAATCGTCAAAAATATTCGGAATTTATATTATCCAAGGGGGAATTTGGTGGACATCTAAAAACCAAGCAAAACGGTTAAAAACTCACCCAAACTACCGCCACTGGAAATGCAACAGAACTCGTAGAGCCCATCGAACACCGGACAATCTTCACCGACGTTGAAATTCTGCATAGCGTTTCCGAAATTCGAAATATTATCAGGCCTGATGTCCTTGAGGAAATTGATGTAATCATCGGAATGAAACGAGGTTAACGTCTCGAAAGTGGCTGGATCCGGCCTCTGAAAGAGTAATTTACAATAACCTCAACAGCTTCCGCAGTTCCTAAACAAGGAATTTTATTTAGAGGAAAAAAACTTACAAAGACGTCCAATTTATTGTAGATACCATAAGCACAGAGCAGCGAGTGGGTCATGCGTATACGATGTGGCTTCATAGGATGACCCTGGCCGTAATAGAAGTTACCGACGTCGCCATCATAGAAGTAACTGATCCGCCGCTTTCCCATTCTGAAATTTGATGTCTACTACAACATAAAAATAAAATCGTAAAGAAAAATCACTGCATTGTAAGGTGATATTTACTCGACTGTATGAGTAACAATTTCAAGGGTAAATGGCTTCAAAATCCGGCGGGACGCACTAGAATTACTTGCAACACAATGCCAAAATCTTGTTTGCGTTATAGGACGCGAAAAACTAATTCATGAAATTTCGACAGATGCAACATCAAAATTCCTTCGTCCGCTTCCAACAAGCAAAAGCTCCAATTAGATGTCTCAAGAACTGTTTAATAAGGTAACACCTGGTTTATTCTATTCATTTAGTTTTTAGAATAATGGAGATGCCGAGGATATCTGGGATGATACCGCGATGATCGAGATGTACGAAAAGAGCAAATCAGCCACCATGGAGAAAGTAAAGCTTAGCGCAAGTCAGACTCAGGTAAGGCTTACCGTTCTCTTTGTTTTTCTTGTTTTAGGCCTGCACCTGAAATTTCCTCCTCTAGTATAATATAATTTATTTCGCAGGGAAAGACAAGGGAATGGAAGGTAGACGACACTTGTATGGCCCCATACGAAGATGGACGATGGTATCCGGCAAAGGTTTTGTCGCTAGACGGCGAAACCTGCAGAGTAGTGTACACCGAGTACGATGAGGAAGCAGATGTGAATGTGGCGGACTTGTTGAGGTAAGAATTTTTGCGTAAATATTGGCGTTCTACTGCTTGGAGTCGAATTGAAATGGTTGGGTTCAGGCCGGACGACGAAGCGGTGCTGTATGGGCAAGTTGATCAAGAATCCACCCACATCCAACATGGTGAATATTATGGGCCGTTTATGGCTGAACCTCCGAATGATCTTCAAAATTTTGGCTATACAGAGCGTTATCAGCTGTATAGCCATGCTGTACCGACAACATCGACATTTTTTACGACAGAATTCGAGGACTTTTCGGCGAAACCGCGAAAACAACCAGACTTGACTAATGGAGAATATAAAAACGCTAAGAATGAAGTGGTAGCTGAAGATTTTAGTGACAATCATGAGGAGTACACATGGAACGCGGACCAATACGGCTCTGAAAAGCCGAAGGAGTCGACTAATCCGCAAATTCAACGGCAATTTTTCGTTTCAACAAAAGTCTTGGAGAAGTCCATAACATTAACAAAAAAGACGAGAGTAAAGGTGAAACGCCAAGGATCTTCCTCAGATTTGCTTGAAAATCCGTTTAAGAAGTCAAAACCTGTTGAATCGAGCACAACCGAGCCAAAAATTGAAGAAATCGACCGGAAACCAAAGCCTCGAAAGCTGACCCTATTCCCAGCCAATATCCATCCGGTAAAGGATGTAAAACCCACCCTTGAACTGCCTCCCCTCACCCTAAAGCCTTTCAATTGGTCTCCCAACTTTGAGAACAGCAAAAGTCCCGAGAATTTACTGCCCGACTTTGTCTTCGAGCGCCGCTTCTGCACCATGGATAAGATATTCGACCATGCGAATGCCCGCCTCCCCGGCTCCGGCAACAAGGCCCGACTCTTCAGCTACGCCTTCGAGAAGCTGCGCGACCTCCGCACCGACCTTGTCCTCATCAAGAACCGGGTTGTCGTCCGTTCTGAACAAACCTTCGTCGCCAAAGCTTTTCTGGGGCCTAGGAGTCGGAAATTGATCGCGAATCGGGTCGCCACCACCAATTTATTCCTAAATACCTTGAACTCAGGGATAATCGAGAATTTTTGCAGCGAAGAAGCGGTGGAAAAGGACGCTGTGGACAAGATGGACACCAACGAAGAAGAGAAGCCCGGACCTTCGACGGAACAAGTATGTTTTTGATGAAAACATTTTTTTTTGTTGGAATAATTTTAGAGCTATTAGATGTTTAAATCTCAAACGTGGGTTATGTTTGCAGTTTCCAGCAAAAATTTTTGGTCTACGAGGAGTTCTCACCTTATACTTGACATCAGATGTCAGGAGTAATAGAACTGTTTATAAAGTAGTGCAAAGTCGAGGTTGGACTGCGTGATAGAAATCTATGGGCTTTGGGCTGGTTTGGGAACGTATTTTATCTCGTTGAGGCATATAGAAACTGATATTTATCTTATACTTGACATCAGATGTCAGGAGTAATAGAACTGTTTATAAAGTAGTGCAAAGTCGGGGTTGGACTGCGTAATAAAAATCCATGGCCTCAGGGTTCGTTTGGGAATGTATTTTGCCTTCTTTTGACATCTAGACACTGACATTTATCTTATACTTGACATCAGATGTCAGGAGTAATAGAACTGTTTGTAAAGTAGTGCAAAGTCGAGGTTGGACTGCGTGGTAGAAATCTATGGCCTTAGGGGTCGTTTGGGAATGTATTTTGTCTTCTTTTGACATCTAGAAACTGAGGTTTATCTTATACTTGACATCAGGTATGATGGATAATATAAGTGCCTGAAAACTCGTATTTGATCTAGGTAATAGATTTTGGCAGACGTCTGGAACCATAATGGAGGTCTTGAGATGTTTTTGGCTAATTCTGAGCTCAAACGGGTGAGATATACCTTACACTTGACATCAGGTCTCATGGATAATAAAAAAGTGATAGGAAAGGCAATTTTTGTTATGAAATTTTCATAAATATGCGTATTATACTTTCAGAAACCAACAACAAGCAAACTATTCCCCATCCCGAGCATTTGCCCACCTCCTCCAGCACTGTTTGCGAAAATCGCCAAATCGAGCAATGAAAAAGAAGCCCTGACCAATATGCTGATGAGCTGGTACATGAGCGGCTACCACACCGGCTTCTACGAAGGCTTCAAGGAGGCGCAGAAGAGTGTGCAACTCGGGAAACGAAAGTAAAACTGGTCTCATACATTACACTTGATCTAACTGCTAATTGTTGATTTTTCTTGACGATTTTATGGCCGTGACTTTATAAATTATGGGTAATAAGAATGGAAATGAAGTCTTCTTTCTTTTTACAACAACTTTTTGTGGGTTGAAGTCGAAGGATAGGCAGTTTTTTCATATTTTTACCATAATTTACTCAAAAATTCCGGAAAACATCGAATATGGATACAAAAAAGGAGGAATTTGTTGTGCGGGTTTACTTCAGTGGGTCGAACTTGACCACCTTCGGCGCTGCCTTGGCGAGTTTGGCCGCCTCTTCGGCCTGCTTCTTCTCCAGCGCCTTCTGTTGCTTTTGTCTCATGATGTCGGCGTCGCGACTGAGGCGGGTGTCGGTGGAGACGCCGGCGGCACGATCCGCAGCCGACTTGCTCTTCCCTTGATCTTGTTGTTTCTTGAGGTTCTTCAGACGAGCGAGCTCACGTTGGTTACCACCTGAAAAAAATTTGTGGATAAAATTTTGATCATCTAGTGTAACATAAATTTTTAATATTTATATCATGAATTTTTGTAAACCTTCTGTTTAATCTTTTGCTTCAGCCCTCAACTGCTCTTTGTGTTGTGTTTTTTCATTCCCGCACCCAAAATCAACTGGAAAAAACGAACTGCACTCGGCGGTCAAGCGAATAACCGGTTTTTCGTTGACTTCGCAAATGTTTTTGGAGTGAACGGGAAATCTTATGATAGAGAAACGTCCAGAAACTCTGAAGGCTTGATCTAGTTGCCTGCGAGTGCCAATTTAGTCCAAACCGCTGAGTTTTCTCTATATTATACTAGTCCAAGAGTTCAAGGTCATAAAAAATTAAAGCTTGGAGAAACAAGCCAAAAATTTTGTCCAGATGCCAATAAAAGGTCTAATAAAGATTGCCAAATCAAATGAAGGAAAGCATTTAGCCAATCTCAGTGGTATTCATGGCCTTCAACATTGCACTAGGTCCTAACAGAAGAATCCTCAAAAAACCCTCGAAAACAATAAAGTTTAGATAAAAATTAGTCTCAAAAGAGAGGTACAGAGAGGCTCTTCGTATTTTATCTAAATTTCGAACAAAAACAAGCAAAATCAAGCCAAAAAGTCGACTTACGGGTCATTGTGGGGGAGAGAAACGAGACAAAAAGCCTTCAGGGGTTCTTCCGCGGCGACGCCGCCTGCTGCTCAACGCTGAAAAGAAGAGATCAATGGAGACGGGGAAAGACGACCAACATCCATCTCTCATTACGTTCTGAGAGAGGCGGATCCACGATGGGGAATTGGCGAAGACGCGAGCGCAAAAACACATGATAAAAAGGGCAAAAACTAAACGAAAAATGCTTCCGGCTACCAGTTGCGGCCAGTTCCGAACGAGAGGGCTATCAAATTCGATAAAAATCCACCGCAAATTACCGAAAAACGAAAAAAATGAGCTGAGATCATGTGTAATGTCGAAAACATTCAAAACTATGGAATTTTCTGGAAAGACACGTGGTTTTATAGCAAATACAGCTTGATCGTGTCGTAGACAACATAAATTTCTCGAAACTCCCTCTAGATTTTGAGGAAGACCTTTCGAAAAATGACCGCAACTTCCCCACACCGCGTCTATGAAGAGGGAAAAATTCGAGAAGGAAGGGAAAAGATCGAGTCAACACGAACCGGCTCGACTTATTCCCAACTCTTCGGCCCATCGAACAGCTGAGCAGCTAACCACACAACTTTCAACAAAATGCGAGCATGCGAGTCACGCGCAGGGGTGGTCAGCGGACCCTATTTTTCCGATTTTCGGCCCGCGGCCCGGCCCGTCTAATTGACCGGCCCGGCCCGTCTAGTCTTTTTCCAGGCCCGGCCCGGCCCGGCCCGTGACGGGCCTGGCCCGGCCCGGCCCGTGCAGGCCCGTCTATAGAGGGTTCTGCGAACTGCGCCCAGGCTCGGGATCTAAACTGAGGCAAAAAAGGCGTTGATCTAGCTAGTAAAGGATCAATGTGATAGTTTTGTGGTTCTATAATGGAACTATAGACTTGTAAACGTTTTAGAACTTGAGAAACAGCAACTATAACAACATAAATTAATTTTCCCGGCGCGAAAACAATGAATGCCAACAGTTTGGCATTGTATTTTAGACGGGCCGGGCCGGGCCGGAAAAAAACCCAGGCCCGCGGCCCGGCCCGGCCCGTGACGGGCCCGGCCCGTTTGTCAATTTCCATTTTTGAGGCCGGCCGGCCCGTTTGGGCCGGCCCGGCCCGCTGACCACCCCTGGTCACGCGTATTCCCGATTAGGTCGCGAGCTGCGCCCTCGCCTTGGTTAGATTATAAGGCAAGTTCAATAACTCGAGTATAAGCGGGTAAAAATCGAAATACTTCTGTGTAAACACTGTAAATAGAGTGAAAAACGTTTACAAAGAGGTTTTTCTGATTTCCTTCTCATATAACCGAGTGCTATATTGCACATGAGCAAAGCCAGCTAAACCAATACGTAAAATAACCAAAAAACGAGTGTCATAACCAAAAAACGAGTGTCTGTTCAAATTTCTGACGTATTCAAGTCACAAATCAGATAAAAAATCGAATAAAACAGAGCTTTGAATCGCTTCCTTCATTGCCTTTCTTCCAAAACGAACGCAATTCGCGGAATTTTCTAGAATTATTCAATAGAACCAAAAAAAAGAAGAAAACGTGGATCCGCTTCGATTGGAAAAAATGCAAGTGGTCCGTATCGTAAATACCTTTCATTTCATCTGGTTTTCGACCATTTTCATTGGTATAATCTTACTTTTCCATGGATAAATTCAACTTTTTCTTTATGACAAAAACAATGAACAAGAGATAAAAAGAAAACAATCAAAAAACATCCTAAATCAAGGTCAAACTGGGAAATCAACAACTATATTAATTGAAGGCGCAGAGGCGTTCGTATAGATAGGGATTGGAGCCGCTTAGGTAGTACATTTGTTCTCGGGCTTCGTCGGTGCGTCCTGAAACGAAAACTTCCGTAACTCAAATAGGCCCAACTCAAAGGAAGTGGGACGATTGGGGAAAGGGACGATTGGGGAAACCAAAAAGTATTATTTTTCTTCGATGCAACTGTCGAAATTAGGATAATCGAGGGTGCTGATTTCGAAAATGACATTCATTTTTTTTGATCTTTACTTTTTTCCTTAAGTAGTACTGTAAAGTAGTCATTTTTTGAATTTTTTTCACAAATACTCGATTCGGGGGTTTCGATGTGCTGATTTCGAAAATCATGCTAACTTTTCCTCTAGTACTGTATAGTACTATCTAGTACTATGTAGAACGAGGCGAAAATATGACTTTTGACATTGATGGTGTTGTTTTGATGCTTACTACAGCATCAAAAGCTTACTACAGAATCACAACAACACCATTAACGTCAAAGGCCATATTTTCACCTCGTACTACATAGTGTCAGATAGTACTATACAGTACTAGAGGAAAAGTTAGCATGATTTTTGAAATCAGCATATCGAAACCCCCTAAATCGAGCATTTGCGAAAAAAATTCAAAAAAATTACTACTTTACAGTACTACTTAAGGAAAAAAGTAAAGATCAAAAAAATGAATGTCATTTTCGAAATCAGCACCCTCGATTATCCTAATTTCGACACCTTGCATCGAAGAAAAATAATACTTTTCGGTTTCCACAATCGTACTTTCCCCAACCGTTCCTTTCCCCAACCGTCCTTTTCCCCAATCGTCCAACTCCGCCCTTTTCAGCCCACCTTTCGCCGATGAGATCCATTTCTTTTCCAGATAATATTGATACAACGCGTCCGCTTCGGCTTTAGTGTAATGTGTTGTTTCGATGGGGATGAATGGGTCGATGGCTTCGAAACCTTCTTCCCGGAAAAGCTCGAGAGGTGTGTTCAGGGGGAAGTCCAGATTCTCTTTGATCTTGCTGAACTCGGCCTTGTCCGCCACCAAAACGCAGGCCCCATTGGTCCAGTTCTTTTCGAAGAAGCGGCGCATGTGAACTACCAGGCTGACTTCCTCTGGAAGGGCCTAAAACGCAAAGTAGTGAGACTTTCTACTAATTATTTGATCATCCCTGTTCATTTCCCACTTATAATTACAATCTCAAATTCGAGGGGAACACTTGACACAAACAGTCATAGAGCCGTCTAAATCAACAAATCCGCCTCGAAAATATGCTCAAAAGCCCGCAAGGACTTCAAAAACATTCAGGTTTCAAACCTGAGCCCATAACCCCCACTTCCACATAAACCCCATAAAAAATGTGTCAAGTCTTTCCCTCAAACAAAATCTCCCTTTACCTTGGTAAAATCGCTCTTTTTGATCATGGTGCGATTTCCATACAGCGAATTGGCTTGATCCACAGCCACCAAAAGCTTCATCTTCCCTTCGGTCGCATGCCTTCGCAGCTCTCGGCCAAGTACACCAACACAGTCACAGGCCGAAAACGGCGCCAAAATGCCCATTTCCACCACGTCCGTTAACGCCGAGCCCTGCGGAGTCCTCTCCACGTTCGACCACTCATATTGGCGCTCAGTTTTGAGTTCCTGAAATTTCGGGTCAAGTTTTTCTTTTTCCGAGTCAACTCTTCGTTTGCGGTAAAAACTCCGTATTTTGGGTAACTTACACCGAGAGTCTGCCAGATATGTTGATTCTGGCTTTTGAACAGGGTGAGGAAATTCACGGCGTGTTCGGGGGTGTCGATTCGGTGTTTGCGAATTGCGTTCACTTGAATGTCACGGATGACTCTGGTCCAAGTGAGAACTGAAAATCAATTTCTGAGCTACGTTATAATCTCATCAGGTCAAAATTCATCTATCAACACCTTTCTATTATCAAAAATCAACAAATATCGCAAAAGGACTTGACTCAAAAAAAAATTTTGTTTGATAAAAATCGATGAAAATATTCAATTTACTGTCTTTCAAATCCTACTAGTAATCTTTCAGTTCTATTTCGGAATCAAAAACCAACTTGAGAAAGAAACACTTGACAGAAAAAATATTTTGGGTCAAGTCGTTCCCTCTTACGAAAATCCCAAATTTGGAGCTCAAACTCCAAACTAGATTACTTGCACCTTACATTCTGAGCTTTTCTGTCCTCGAATACCCAAAATAAATTAAATAAACTTGTTTTTCTTACCTCTGGGCACTTGCCAGACCACCCACTTCTGTTGAAAGGCCGCGTGGACCAGCTGATTCAATGTGATCGTTTTGCCGGTCCCCATTTGTCCCCAGAGGACCATTCGAATCGACGGGAACGTGGGTCGGACCGCCTTCAAACAGTGGACGGCTTCGACTAGTGGGGCGCGGCACAGCCACGTGCACTCTTGCAGGGTGTCCAACTGAGCGGCGTATGGTTTGGGAAGGGTCTCCTTTTGTTTCAAGGCTTTGGTGGCGTCTGATTCCACCGTGTAAAGTCGTCCGATCTGTTCGTTTGTGAATTCGATGGGATGATTCGAGGAGCAAGTGTTGTACTGCCTGAGGGCATGGACTGTTCGCGGTCGGAGAAGTCGAATTGCACGCATTCTAAAGTCAAATCCCACACATGTTTTATCAGTTTAAAAATGTTTACGAAGCTTCGCGGAGCCATTTCTAATCGACTGAAAGACTTGACCCAAATGAGTCAAGTGTTCCCCTCGATCTGAATCCGCCATGAAACAGGTTTCAAAATAAAACAGCCTGTTTTATAAAGGCCTTAACACTATTTAAGACCAATTTAAATATATAAACAGGTGATTAACCGATATTACACTTGATAAAAATAGTCATTGACAAAAACCAATTTTAATATCCAAACTTCAACAAAGTAACAATCAAAAAACCGGTAGCATCTTTAACAATCTCCATTAAGAACCTTTTCGATCCCATATCACTTGGCATATTGGAAGTTCTCGCTGTTTTCGTATTCGGCCATGTCCAGTGCAACTTCGCAGCTCTCTCGCACTACTCGCTGAAACAAACTCAAGTAAATTTCTTCTAAACAAACTAATATGCTCAATTTTCAATTTAGCAAACAAAGAATCAAAAGCCCCAACGAAATTTTCGATATTACACTTGCCTCATTATCCTTTGCGTATTCCTTCAACAACTCCTCGCACTCTGGTGTAGCGATGGCTCCTAGCGCTTCCGCGCACTCATGACGGACCATGCAATTCTCGTCGGCCTTTCGCAGCCGATCCGATAGCTCCGTGATGGCCAGCGGGGATTGGATTTGGCCCAGGACATAGGCAACTTCATGGCGGAAAAGCGCGCTGTCCTCGCAATACATGCCTAAAAACCGAAAATCAAAGTAGAAATGCGACTTACCTTGTGCTAACGCCTTTATGGACTCTGGCGAATTGAGATTTCGGAGCTTGAACATGGCCCGGTACCGCTCCCAAAGTGGCTTCATTTCGTCTATCAAAACCTTTCCCAGTTCCGAAACATCTTCGGAATCTGCGGCCGGCGTAGGATCAACAGAATCGTAGGCTGAAGAAGCGTCTTTTCCTCCATTTAGAGTCCATTCCAGGCGAGCTGCAGCTAACTGACAGGTCTCGGCGACTTCAACAACAGGATCCGACGAATATTCTTTCAGTAAATCGAGAACAGAGCCGTCTCCGATTGCACCCAACGCCTCTCCAGCTTCGTGTCGAACCATGGGATCTAAAACAAGAGATTTTAGGGGATTTTGCGAGATTACGTAGAAAACACAATCTTTTGACGTTATCCATGATCAAAGCGGAAATTTAACAAAATCTTCAACTCAAAATTAAACTTTTCCTTGCTCAAATCAACAATTATACCCCAAGGATTCTGTGCTAAACCTTTTCGACACCTGACATAAAAATATTCACGCATTCCTTCTATTTTATGTTATTCATGGCACCGACCAAAAGAAATTTGTCACTTCTTCAAAAATTGGTTTGCTTTCGGCCTAAAATCCAAACAAAAAGAGAAAACAAGACCTCACCTTGCTTTACGTCCTTCAACGTCTCCACCAAGACAGGGATTGCGGATTTATTCTGCATCTGACCCAAACAATAGGCCAGTTCATGTTTCAGAAGCGCCGAGTCGTCGTTGAACGCTTTCCCAATGTAGAAAACAGAGCGATCGTCCTTCAGGTTCCTCAGAACAAACAGAGCACGAAATCTTGAAGCTAGTGACTCGCTAAAAGCAGAATTTATATTGTTTTAGACAACCTACTTTGGGTCGTTTAGGATCCTCCCGGTTTTATCGACATATTCAAGCGAAATTCCTTCAGGATATTGGCCTGGAGGTGGAAGAACATCCGCCATCTTTTTGGCAGGTAGAAAAATAAAAATTTGCGGAAATTCCTCTTCTAAAAGAGACATCTTATACGATGAAAAGTGTTCAGCAAGAAAGTAAGAAAGGAAGAAGACGAGCTGTATGACAAGAGAAGTTGATCAGGGATAAATTGTGATTGAATAGTGGCAGGCCAGCATTATTTTATTCATTACTAGACATTTCGCGCTTGTATTTACAAGTTTAAAACTGAGGGGGACACTTGACCCGAAACAGTCAAAGAAGAGTCTGAATTAACAAATCTGTCCCGAGATATATCCACAGTATCCAAAAGACTTCCAGATCACCAAACGACATATCTTAAACCCGATGACAAACCCTACATCTGAATAAATCCATCAAGAATGTGTCAAGTTTGCCCCTCGAAAGAAATCTCCATTTATCTTGGTGAAATCGCTCTTTTGATGATGATTTGAGTTCCACAGAGTATATTGGACGTATCTACAGATATATGAAGCTACATATTTTCATCCGTCCCATGCTTTCTCAGTTCTGAGCCTTATACACCACACAGTCATACGTCGAAAACGCCGAAGAAAACCCCCATTTCCACGCCATCAATTAATGCCGAGCCCTGCAGAATCCTGTCCACGTTTGATCAGTCCTATTGGCGTTAGGTTTTGAGATAGTTCTTGAGATACTTGGAACGATTTTCTTTTTTGTCCAAAAAGTCCAAAACAGTCAAAAATTACAATGTTGGGGTAATAAATCAAGTCTACCGCGTGTTTACCGTGTATATCATTCGTAAACAGAGTAAGCAGGGGAATCGAGAGCGGTGTCGAAATAGGTTTATTGCGATTTTTAAAGTTCATTTTTGAGCAAAAAATTGATGATTTAGTTAAGAAAAGCATCTCAATCATTGAAATAGCTTTCTCAAACGTGTTTTTATCTATTTACAATGTATTTAAAAACTATATCGGTGCTCTATTTAAAGACTATATCGCTATTTTTAAGCGATATTATCCATGGCGAGGCGATTTCGGAAGACTGTAAGTATACTGTAATTTTGCAAAAAAAATGACAAAAATTGTCATCCATTTGTCACAAATAAGATTGATTTACAGTTTTCAAGACCGGGAATGAGTTATATTGCGATGATGACGACGAGGAGCACAATTATTTGAACCTTTCCCAAAGATCCAATTGGAAGCCAAATTTTCAAATTGATTGGGCTATTATGTGCTATGGAGCGACTGGCCGGGACAAAGAGCTCCCACTTGAGGCTCTAAAGAGTATTTACTCCCAATCGGCGAAGAATCTGCGCAAGGCGGCGCCCAAGTTGAATGAGGTCGAGTTTTGGCATTCGCAGACCTTCGATGCCACAAATTCAACGGAAGAAGAGGTGAGGAAGTCGATGTTTAGACAAATACTAACTTAGTAGAGCTTATATTTATTTTCTAACGCATTTAAGTTCAATTTGAATTAATGCACAGTGCGAAATCAAAGAAAATTTGTTGCACAGTGCAAAATTCACATAAGTTAAAATTTCTTTTTGAAATACAGTAACCTAGAAATTTAAAACACGCCAAGATTATCTTTATGTCTTCTAAAATACACATGGCCATTCAATTTTGCCAAAATTTTTCAATGCACTGTGCGATAACAAATTGTTTGTTTGTTGCACAGTGCAGCGTTAAAAAAAGTGACGTTGCACGGTGCATCTTTGAAATTCTTTGATGACTGTTTATGTAGTGATCAAAGATCAGTCTCAAGAGTAGAATAAACCTATAGCTGCATTGAAAGACTCTTTCCGCACTGTGCGAAAAAGCAATTTATTTTCGCCGCACAGTGACGCCACAAATTCACCTTTGACGCCACAAATTCAACTGAAGAAGGTATTTTATGTCAGTAGTAAGTGGATAAGGTCTGAATTAAATTTTAAACATTTTTAAAATCAATTTGAGTCGTCGCACAGTGCGAAATCGAGGAAAAAGTCATTGCACAGTGCAAAATTAAAAGAAATCAAAATTTCTTGCACAGTACGGTGTAAAATACGTTTTCTTTTGGGAAAAATAATCTTTACAGTGTCTAAAATATTCCTCGCTATCAGATTTTGCGACAACTTTTACCTATGTGGTACTGTAAGCAATTCGGTTTTCCTTGCACCGTGCAATTTTCAGAAAAATTGAAATTTCGCTCGCAGCTGAAATTTTTTTGATGTCTGCTTTTATGACATGTTAATAATCATTTTTAAGCGTACTATAGACTACTTTTATTTTGAAAATGCTTCTTGCGCACTGTGCAAAAAACAAAGTTCGAATTTTTGCACGGTGCAAACAAAATTTGAGACAAAACTGCACTGTGCGGACATTTTTTTGAGTTTTAAAATTTCGAAATGACAAAAAAGTTTTTAAAATACGAATTAATGAATAAAGTCACAATTTTTTCAGATAATTCACCTTTTCCGGAGCCAATTTCTCCGCTCCACGGCCGAAGCTGAATTGATCGCAAATTCCGCGACAGCTCAACGTTTCACCGTCTCCAAAATCGTGGCCCAATATTTGATCCAAGTCAGGGATTGTGATCACAGCGATTCCGCCCGCTGCAACGATCCAATGGGCATTTTGAGACGTGCTTTTCGCTATTTGAAGCCCAAGATCTCGCATTTTGAGGCGTTCTTGCAGCGAAAGTTGAGTGGAAATGTGGAATTCGACTTTTTCGCAACTTATCTGGCCACAGTCCGCAATCACCGCGTCTTCTCCGGACTGATGGGCTCGAGTTTCGCACAAGGCGAGGAGAGTTTCGCGCAATTTGAGCTGTTGCGACGGATTTTTTCCGACGATGACAAAAAACTACGGTGAATTTTTGCGATCTCAGACTACTGTAGCATATTTTTGACAAAATAAAGTTCAATTTTTCTTGGAAAAAAAATTTCATAAAGTGCATGGACATTGTGGCCTCAGTGACATCTGATCATGAGTAAAACAAGCCGTTCCTTCTAATAAATCGACAAAATTCATCAAAAACACTGCAATTTTATCATATATGATACAGCCATAATAAAAATTCAAACTGTGCTAACATCGGCTTTCCAGTTGACATGTTTTGAAGGCCAAATTAAGGGGCTCTTTCGTCGTTCCCAGTCATCAACTTCTGCCTCCTACAACATCATCAATTTATTGTCCCCACAATTGAAGTCTTCGTTGGATACAGTCCGAAATTGCTGGAATTGTGGAGAGCCTTGATCTTTCAAATGGAGTATATGTCAGGCAATGATTTCTCGTCGTAGAAGGCCTAAATGAGACTGTTATAATAATCATGTCACTTCTAGAAGAGAAATTAATCAAAATGACTGTAAGAAAAGGTTCGATTAAACTCTAAAATATGAAATGCAACGACCACAGATTGACTTTCCCTAACATAGGTTCCAACTATAGTAAATTTTCAAAGGAATTCAAATTTATCCCGCAAATTTGATAAAAATTCTCAGCACAACGCCAATTACGACCCATACCCTCAAATCCGCCATAATCTTCTAAAATACGACTTAAAAAACGCCCACCATTGAGTCAGTTTCCAATAACGCCCATTCAGTGCACCATCGATCTGCCCATTTTCTCATCATTGAAATCGTCCGCTGGGATCGAAGTATTGGCAATACTTCGATCCTGGCCGATTCCAGTTCCTCCCAACAAGGCTTCAGCCACCGCACGCCTCTCATGACATCGCGTGGACGGGGGTCTCCGATGCAACTGCCTAAATTTCAAACAATCCAAAAACAAAACACGACTTACTTTTTCCATTTTGCCCATCATCTAGAACTCATTCTGCGGCAATTCGAATCACATGTTGTCTTCCATGTCCAAAGGAACCATCTGAAATTCCATATAAATTAAAAACTGCATCAAAATCTAAAAAATCGGGGGAAAAAATTGTCAAAAAGTCACCCAAAAAATGCCATACAGTAAAAAAAAACCCTTGTCCATACTCGTCCTGATGCCTTCAAAATCCAACAAAAACGTCCGAAATCCCTCCACGTTGCAAAAAACGTTCCAAAAAATTGAGAAAATTTGAATGAAAATCTGAAAAAAACGTCAATTTTCCCACGAATTTGCGCAAAAAATCGAATTTGCATATTCGAAATTCACCAAAATTTTGTTGGCATTTTTCTCATTCACCGGTAGATTCTTTTATCCTGGTTATAGCGTCAATCTCTTTCGAAGATGCCAGCTTCAACTTCATCATCCGTCTCCTCCAAGACGATGGCCCCGGCTCCCTCCACCGCCGCCGTCCCGGTGGTTGGAGTCGGGGAACGGCCGATGGGTAAGTCAAATGGGATTTTTCGGGATTTTTTTGGGGTTTTTTGAGGATTTTAAGGATTTTGAGGATTCAAAATAGGATTTGTCATCAAAAATCCAGAAAATTCTGGATCTTTTGATGACAAATCCGGCTTTGAATACTGTAATAGACTTTACCTTGTTGTACGATGACTTACATAAGCTTAGGGACAAAAAATATTAAAAAATATCAATGTCTCGCTGACTTGTCTAGTACAAGATAATTTTGACGTAAGCAACCCAAAAAAACAGCTCAAAACATTGATTTCGAGCTCAATTTTGCAGAGCTTGCTTAGATTTGCAACTCCAAATTACCTTATATTTAATTTCTTACCCGCAAAATTATAAACCTCATTTTTGGCTGGTGGGTTACTACCGTAAATCCCGCCAAAAATGACAATCAAAAGGCCTCAGGGCCTCGAAAATACACTATTACGCCTTGAAGTGCAATATTCAGGCCAAATATTGCACAAAACGTCGCAATTTTGGCTGGTGGGGAATACCATAAATCCCGCCGAAAACTATTTTTATACTGTTAAAATCCGGCCGAAATTGGCCTCGACATTATGTATACGACTCTGTGGATCGCCCTGGATGAGTTCCCGCCCCATTTAAGCCCTGGCAGATCGGTAAGTCAAGATTTTTTGGGTTTTACAGTGTTTAGAGGCCTCATGGAGGAGATGTCAGAGGGCAAAATTTTGGATGAAACGGTAGATTTCGGGCATTTTTTGAGATCGATTGCTGTATTTTAGACAAAATTCTGACAAATTTCCGTACCAAAAACTTATTCCAATTCTCTTTTGTGAAAAAAAAATTTTGGAAAGAAATTCTTACGCTTTTTTGACACACCTTTAGGCAATAAAATGAAAGCCAACAGCACTCATTAGGTACCATAAATTCCGAGCTTGCTTTTGATATAAATTCCCCTCTACCCAAATTTTGCTTTTTGATCATCAACATCCCAGCCCGCAGCCTCCCAGAATACCCATTATGATTGGGCAGACATCTCTCCAAGGCCCAAAAATGAAGAAGCCGATCGGTGGCCAGCACTTCAGTCCCTCCACTGCTCAGATCCAAGATGAGATTCGGTAGGCAAAGACCTGGAAAATCCGTCAATTTTAGTTATCTTTTTTGTCAAAATTGTCAAAAATCAACTTTTTTTAGAAGCCCCATTCCACAATTTTTGTTTTCCAGATAACTCCAAAAAATACCCCTTCCCCAAAGATTTTTGACGGATTTTCTAGAAATTTGTCATCCGAATGTCACAATTGATGTCCAACGTTCAAAATTATGGCCTCAAACATCTGCATGTACCTCCAGAATCCCTCCAAGAGCCTAATCCGGGTTGAAGATGGATAATTTTTGTTGATTGTGGCAGCTCCAGCGATTATTCATGACGACATCATCTAAAAATATTATTTTTTGATTATAAATATACAGTATTCGTCATAAATTATTCTTATACATCGTACTTCGGAATTTTTTGGAGACAAAAATCCAAAATAAAGATTAAACTATTCATTTTCATGGCAAAAAATTGCCTTACTTTGTGTTTACTCCAATTGCCATCGAACACCGTCTCCAATCTGATTCGTGGACCAGGTAACAACTTTATTTTGCTTTCCTCTTTCAGTTCATCCATGGAGCTGTTCCAAGATGATTCAAAACTCGATGGGTCCTTCCCTGGCAAGAGTCCACTTCCAATTCCGTTGGCGCCCTGAAACTTGAACCATTACAATTGGATAAATATTCTTTTATAAATTCTAATTGTATTAATCATAACAATAAATACTTACATCATTTTATACTATCCATGTAAACCGACCTTTATTGTTACATATACCGGGGTTTTCACTTTGAGACACCACCTGATGACACGATGAACTTCCTGGACCTCTTCCTTTGGATCAATTCAATCACTGGGCTGATTGCTGAAGATCAACGTCAAATGGACCATGTCGACGATCATCACTTAGGATTAGGGTTGTAGTAGAGTAATTTCAAGGGGTGGGGAGCTCGTCTCGTCCATGGATGGACGTTATTGATGTTGTTCTTGTACCTGTCCTCGTTTTTCTTGTCAAAACCTTGTTGAAAGACCTCTTGATGTGCTCTGTGATTTTCTCCAGGTGGACGTGACTTCTCGTCGTGCAGGCTCGTCGAATTTTCGGTTGCGTGTCGCGTGGACCTTTTCAGAGAATTCCAATCAATCAACAAATACATCTTCAAGATGACAAAAAGGGACGCCAAGGCACCTACTTTCGTCATGATCACTTCAAATCAGCTCCATCTTCAGTTCAACCACCAGTGTATTAATTCTACCGTCCATTCATTCCATCTCATCAACATCTTCACCATCAAATTCGTTTTTACATCATGACTCCGTCTCCAATAGGAATTTTCAATGTTCGCCACAAATTTTGGATTAACAAAGGTATTTCTTTGACCTGGAGATTATTCATGACATCAATATCGTGTTGGGAGTGATCGAAGAACCAATGAATATCTGAAATGAAGCATTTAGAAGACCGATACAAGGAAACCAGAAATTTTAGACGTTTTCGCCCATTTGACCCCCGGACTCACCTTATTTTAGCTCAATTTGAACATCAACATACCAATCTGACCATTTTCATCTCCATGAATCCAATCCAGCTCCCGTTTCCATGATTTTCACGTCTAAATGGCCCCAAATCACCCACAACTTGTCCACCTGCACCTGATCTTCACCAATCGAGTACCAATCATAATCTTGGTTCGGTCCACCACCTTAAATTTGGTTCCATCTCAGCTTCTGGAGTCCTTTTGAAGGATTCCCCCGTTCCACGTTGTCGTTTGATCCGATCTTCGGGTCATTCAGTGTTCTTGGCTTTCGAGCCGCTGTGCTGTCGCCTTCCTGATCACCACTAATGAATACGCTTTCCGGTCGCCATCAACGAAAAAAATCAGCTCGGGGTTCTTGTCGGTTTTGTCACTGGACTTCAATGTGGATCGATTTTCAACATCTGTGGAATGTTTTCTGGAGAAATCACAAATTGTTCGCAGGACTTTAATTCAAATGTGGAGTTTTCGTTCAACGTGGATTTCACCTTCAAGATTTTGGATCGTCATCATCTGGATCTCCGCCTAAACGCAAAAAAAGCATTACTTTAGACATACGAAAAATTTTTATGTGGGAAAGTTGAGAGAATATGAGAAAATAGAGACCTTAGTAATAGTATTAGAATTTTTGGCCATACTTTTTCAATTCTTAGACTAATTTTGATGATTTTAGTGTCTCCCAACACCGTCGGCCAGGCCTCCGGCCACGGCTCGTGCCATCCAACCGAGCCTCAAGTCCATACCGTGCAGGCCGAAGTTTTGCCGGCGGTCATGGCCCCTCCTCTGGTTCGCCAACATCAAACCGGCGTCCCGGAGGAGGGTAAAGAGGGGCCAAGCTCAACACTTGGCCTCTCTGGCTTCGGCCAAAACCCCGCCCCAACCGTTCAGGCCGAGCACCTGCCGGCGGTTGCGGGCACGGAGAGATCGAGCTCACCACTCGATCTCTCCGCCCCCAGCGCGTTGATGCACACGCCCGTCTACAGCCCAGGGCACTCAACGCTGCATGGGGTCCCCTCAATAAAATCAATGGAAGTCTTCGATGAGGGGGAAGACTGGGCTGTGGACGAGCCGGTCGAAGCCAGAATGAAGCGGCTCGAAGATGAACGAAAACTCTGGAAGGACGAATGCCGGAGGATGTGGCTGAGGCAGGCCACCTTGGAGAAGAATCTCAGCTACTATGAAGGAGCAATTGAAGAGGCTCAACATGAATTGAAGAAGGCTAAAGATGAAGCCGCCGCCGCTATCAAAAAAGCGGAAGAAGAAGCCGAATCCAAGGTCAACGAGATCCAACGGAAATATTTTGGGGCGCTAACCGAGGCGGACCGTGCTCAGAGGAAGCAAAGGGAGACGGAAGCAGAAGTCGTCCGTCTCCAACAACGGCTGATGGATAATTTGAAGAAGGCCGCTCCTCGGTCGCCAAGAAAGGACCGTTCCAGAAGTCCAACCACGGCGCGACCACCAACGCCCGAAGCTCAACCTGAAGTTACGCCGCCGATGCCTGAAGCCCAACCACAAAACGAACCAGAACCTGAGCAACAGTCCATCGACGTACCGGTAGAAGAACAGCACGAGGCCCCAGGGCCGGTCCGAAGAAGAATGCCGAAATGCCGAAGAAGATGCTGCTACCAGCCGCCGCCTGCCCCTCAAGTTCCTCGGCCTCCGCGAAGATCAAGGGAAGTCGAAAAACTCGGGCCAATAATCGAAGCGGTGGTCTTTGAAGAACGGCCCAGAAGAAGCCGTCAGCCCCCGGCAAGGCTTATGGTGGACATGGTTCGAAGGTCGTACACCACAATGAGGAATTCCTTGTTGCCCCGTAAGTTTATTGGCTCTTGTTTTTTATTTTTCAAGCCAAAACCCTCTAGAAATAAACCAAAATAAGGTGTTTTTTGAAGAAAAAAAACATTATCCATACATAATTCTCAATAATATCTTTTTTTAGGAAGAAGAACCCAAGTTCCGGCAAATCCCGTGCCTTGGAACCTTGGATAAGGTGGAGACACATAAAGTAAGATCTTTTGGGAACTGTTTGACCTTGACTTAGGCTAAAGTAATATAATTTTTTACTCTATTTTCAGATGAAGGCCAGTCAGACCGAAGCGGAGAAGTGGATACGGCACCCTTGCCCCCTGAATCAGCCCGGGGGGCATCTGGAATAAAAAAAGGGTGCCACATCCACTTTTTATGGTCAATATTTGGTCATTTTGGACTAAAATAAGGTAAGTTATCGTGTTGAATTTATATGTTTGCCTTTTTTTCAGAATTCCCTAAAAAGGATGAACTGGGAAGGTGGAGCACCCTTGCCCCCCGAATCAGCCCGGGGGGCCGCTGGAATTTCATGGGTGCTCACCTTTTTTCCGGTCACTGGCGCGTCGAACCGGAGCACCCAGGCCCTCCGCTTCATGCGGGGGGCCCTCTGGATAACTTTACGGGTGCTCGGCTAGACCAATAAGGTAAGATTTCCTTCTGTTTTCCGGAAATTTTTGACTTTTTTTTGGGCTAAAGTAATATAATTTTCCCACTTTCAGTTCAAGGCCAGTCCAGACCGAAGTGGACCTGGAACCCTCGCCCCCTGAATTAGTCCGGGGGGCCTCAGTGAACCAATCAATGAAATTGAGGTAAGCAAGATTTATATTCGTCTCCTTCGAAGTTTAGGAGTCATGCTTAGGAATTTCGGGATAATCAGCTGCACGCCGGTAAGATATATCCATCTTACACAACGTTACACAACCTATTAACGTTGTATAACGTATGTTATGTCGCAATAGTTCCATGTCCCAACGAGACTTGGAACTAAAATCGAAACGTTTTTCGATAAATTGTTACCTAAATTAATATAAAAGTATTCTGGAGGCAGAAGGGCAACAATTTATGAACTTATGCCGTCGAGAATACTAAAATACGCTCAGAAAAGTGGCTTCTAACCCGAACAGATGTATTATGGACTCAAAATGTGGTAAATATTGCCAAAATAAATCAAATCCCTAAAAATTTAGCTAAAAACGATATTTTTCGGAGCGAAGTAGAGAAAAAATTTGCGCTGACCTGCAGAAAGGTCTCGTAAACAAATATGATTAAGCCCTTCCCCAAAATTTGGACTAAAATGCCGTTTTTGCGTCGATTCTCCATCACATTTTCGATACCTAAATTTCGAAGAACGAAAAAACATAAAAACACTTACGTATATCCAAGAGATGCATTTCATCACCTAAAGTAACCTATTCTCCAACTTCAGAAGCCATCCTCTTACTTTTACATCTTCTGCAAAACGGTTCACGCCCGTTTCTGCAAATTTATTTTGCATCTGTGCGCAAAGTTTTTCCTGATGCAGAATGCCAACCATTTCTACCAACCAAAAAAGTTCGTTTCGGGGTGCAGCTGATGTTTTACTTGACATGAAGACTGTTCTAAAAGTGCGATAAATTCGATCCCGCTTTGTATTCCTTCGTTTTTTGCGTTTTTTCTTGTTCTGACATAACATTATCTCTTCTTTTTCAGACTCTTACACACGAGCTCAATTGCCCACCAGATCAAAACCACTGAGGAGTCCGAGCGGCAGCGTATTCATGGTCAAAGCCTTGAAAATGAAGTAAGCTTATGTTTCTTTTGTTTTTTGTTTGCGGTTTAGATCAATATTTGGCAGAATTTTGGATCGGGAGGGAATGGTCAGACTTGATTTTTATACCTATTTTTGAATCAGATTTCATTGTCAGAAAAATCTGTGTCTATTATTGACAGGGAGTGGAGTATTTTCACAAAAAAACAATTTTTTCCCACTGAAATTCGCGAAGACATGGAGGAAAACACGTTTTTTTGTGTTGCCGCTCTCCTCATTTCCCGTTCTCGCTCGCCGGAAAGATTGCGTAATATCTCGGGTGCGAATGCAAAGCAAAAGCTAAAATTTTCAAGGAAGGATTTGTGGATCATCTAAAGAATATGTGCTAAATTTGGGGAAAATTGAAGGAAAAAATTTTTTGGGTTTAGTAGAGGTCAAGTATAAGGTTGAAAGTCTAATTTTTTGATATTTTTTGGCTGAACTCAGAGGTTTTCTCGTGTGTAGATGATGTGTCAGAGAGTGTAATTGAATAATTTCAGCAATGGCTACTTGAATTCGACGGATTTGGGACGAATTGCGGCACTTTTTTTTTATTACAATTGAGTCGATCGAGACCTTCACGAATGGACATGAAGCTGTCAGACTGACCCCGAACATGACTGAAGATCATATTTTGGCCCTAATCTGCTCTTCCTCGGAATTCGCACAAATTCAGGTGATTTTTTTTGGATTTTTTTTTATTTTTTGGAGGTGATATTGATTTAGATGATTTTTTTTTTATTTTTTTGTGAGTTTGACGTTATTTGTTGGAATTTCAGTGTCGCGAAACCGAAATGGCCGACCTGGACATGCTCATGTCGGGATGCATGCTCCCCTTGAGAGGCGGTGGACTGGCTACGTCGCAAGGAAAAGTCAATTGTCTACTTCAGGTAGGCGGTTTTTGATTTTGAAAGAAAAAATGTTGAACGATTTAATTGATTAATTTTTTTCAAAGCTCAAAAAATTTTTTATAAGGAAAGTACTTTTTTTGGGTATGGAGTTACAGGTCGAGACATATATCAAAAAATTGCAAAATTTTTCTGATTCAGAATAAGTAAAAATTAGCTGCCCAATTTTGGTTTGTAACGGCGAAAAAACCCTCAAAACTTTTCTCCCAACACCATGCCTTTTTGACCAAGTTTTTACCAATTCAAAAGCTTTGTTTTGAGCTAAAGTGGTGGGCCTGATCCAGTGGCAAAAAACGTACCATTTTGCATTCAGTAAGTATTAAAAAATGTGGCAAAATACCTCCCTCTACAAGTGGAAAAACTTCGTTTTGAAGGCCCCTCACAAAAAGAGCGGGCGCGCATTTGAAATGTGAGTTTTTTTCACTTGTAGAGGGAGGTATTTTGCAACATTTTTAAATACTTCCAGTATGCAAAATGGTGGGTTTTTCCCACTGGATCAGGTCCGCCAATGTAGGTAAAGCCTGGCATCTTTGACTGTTTTAAGATTTGTAAAGATGCCAGGATTTGTTTTAGCCCAAAACAAAGCTTTTAAATTGGTAAAAACTTGGTTAAAACGGCATTTGCGTGGTGTTGGGAGAAAAGTTCTGAGCTTTCGCCCTTACAAACCAAAATTGGGCAGCTAATTTTTACATATTCTGAATCAGAGAAATTTTGCGGTTTTTTGATATGTGCCTCGACCTGTAACTCCATACTCCATAAAAGTACTTTCCTTGTAAAAAAATTTTTTCGAGCTTTGTAAAATCTTAATTAATTAATTTTTAAAAAATTTCACTTTGGTTTTTTTACGATTTTTTTTTCAGAATTACATCTCCCGCGCCGAGCCGACCAGCTTCACGCTGCAATCGGAGATGTTCTACATCTCGCAAAACGCCTCCCGCGTGGCCCGCGCCCTGTTCGAGATCACGCTGCGCAAGAATTGGGCCTTCACCGCCGTCCAGTGCCTCGAATTCTCGAAATGCATCAACCGCCGCCTCTGGAACTTCAACAGCCCGTTGCGCCAGGTGGTCGACGTGTGACTGCTGAAGGACTTGGTGTCCGAAAAATCGAAGCCAAACGAAACCTCGGCTTCCTGGACCTCCTGGATTACGACGAGAAGGAGCTGGGCGCGCAGTTCAACTGTGACGGACGGATCTTGTACGACTGCTTGAGGTACATCCCGTCCTTGGATGTGGAAGCAACCATCAAACCCCAATCACCCCGTAGGTTTTGAAGTGGGGTTTTTTTACAGAGAAAGGTCGATTTGCCTGGAACTTTTGGGCAAAATAGGGATTTTGGGATATGTTGGGGGGTTTTTTGGGCAATGTGGAGAATTTTTTGGACAAGGAGAGAGTTTTTTGAGCAAAATGGTTGTTTTGGGACAGGTTGGGGTTTTTTTGGCAGAATGGGAATTTTGGGCAAGATATATTTTTTTGGGCAAGGTGGAATTTTTTGAACAAGGTGAAATGTTTCGGGGAAAGTTGATTTTTTTGGGCCAAATGGGAATTTTCGAGCAGAATGGGAATTTTGGGCAAGATGAGAACTTTTCAGCAGATTTAAATTTTTTGTTCGAAATGGATTTTTTACTGGATGTAAATTTTTGGGCATTTTTTTTTGCAACTTTGGATTTTTTGTACTGGTTGACATTTTTTGGACAACTTCCTAATCTTGACTATGGGGGAAAAACTTCCGGAAAGCGGCCCACTCTGAAAAAATTGTTAAGGGGTTGAGAGATATTTTTATAGTGTTGTCACTGGTGTTTTTGCGTGTTAATTTTTTATTTTTCAGAGGTCCTCTCTCGATACCCACCACCGAAAGGATGACAGAGAAAAAATAATTAAAAGGCAAAAAATAGAAGAGCCAAAAAAAATGAAAAGGCCAAAAAATCAAAAAAAAGAAGAGCCAAAAAAATAATAAAAAGGCAAAAAATTATATTTTTTGAAAAAATAAGATAATGAAAAAATAAAAAAAGTGACAAAAAAACGTAAAAAATGAAAAAATAAAAAAAAAGCTTTTTTAATTGACCCCATTGTATTTATCTATTGTATTTGTATTTAATTTCTATTGTCTATTGTATCTGTTGTATTTGTCTCATTTATTCTATTTGTGTTTAATTTCTATTGTCTATTGTATCTGTTGTATTTGTCTCATTTATTCTATTTGTGTTTAATTTCTATTGCTTATTGTATCTATTGTATTTGTCTCATTTATTGTATTTGTATTTAATTTATCACGACTTTTTAATATGTAAGTTATCGGTTTATACTTGTTTTAGCGTGGTCTTTAATCTCAAATTATATGATTTATATTTGCAGAAAATGACCCCGGAAAGCAATGGATCCTTCGAAAACTGCACCAATTCAACAACGTCACTCCCGGCCCAGGACGGCACCTACATGGCCGAAATCCAAACCAACGATTTAGACAACATGCAATGTAAGCTTTGATGGTTTTTTTGGTAGTTGAGAAAATTAGGGAATTCTTCAGATTGTTGTCACTTGTTTTTTTTGGTGGTATTTATTTTTTATATGATCTATTTTTTCAGAAACCCAGCTCTCGAATCAGTGAATCTTTGGAACGCATTTCCCGACCCTACTTTCAATGTCCCAATTCCGGCCCAGGACGGCACCTACATGGCCGAGACCTTCACCAACGATTTAGACAACATGGAATGTAAGTTTTGATGGGTTTTTATAGTTGGGGATATTAGGGAACTCTTCACAAGGGAATGGACTTTATGTGTAAATCGATTTTGGCTTGAGACATCGTCAGATCGAAAGGTGTGTGGTAGTCGATTATTCACTTGGGGGGAAATCTCTGCGCGGGCTTCAAAGCCGAGAAAATCGGCTTCAAAGTTTGGGCGAAAATCAAAGGGTAGGATCCCGGAAAAGTAGCGTTAAAAAGTGTGAAGCAGTGGCCGAGTGGTCAGTGCGCTCGCTTTTTACGCAAAATGTTGCAGGTTCGAGTCTTTCCAAGCTCAAACCATCATTTATCGTTTTTACTTTTGCTTTCTTCATGCTAATCCGGCTGTACATTTAAAAAAGGGGTATAGGTAAAATTGTCTAAAAAAGTTATGAATGGAAGCAGATTCGAGCTCGCGACCTTTTGCGCAAAAAGCGACCACTCGGCCACTGCTTCACACTTTCTATCGCTCCTTTTCCGGGATCCTACCCTTTGATTTTCGTCCAAACTTTGAAGCCGATTTTCTCGGCTTTGAAGCCCGCGCAGAGATTTCCCCCCAAGTGAATAATCGACTACCACACACCTTTCGATCTGACGATGTCTCAAGCCAAAATCGATTTACACATAAAGTCCATTCCCCTGTCAGATTGTTGTCACTTGTTTTTTGATGGTTCTTCAATTGATTTCTGTATTTTCAGATATTGCTCCAAGATTTCTTCACTGCTTTTCGGATTTAAAATAAAAAAAAAAGAAAAAAATAAAAAAAATAAAAAAATAAAAAAAAGAAAAAAAATAAAAAAAAGAAAAAAATAAAGAAAAAAAAATAAAAAGATAAGAAAAAATAAAAAAAAGAGAAAAAAAAGTAAGAAAATAAAAAAAAAATTTTTTTTAAGTACCCCGTATCCTTCTCCTCTAAATTTTACTCGCCTAACTTACTGCCCATTTGTATCAATGTAAGTTGTTATTTCGTTCTTGAATTTATCCTGGATTTTTATTAAATTATATGATCTATTTTTTCAGAAACCCAGCTCTCAAATCAGTGAATCTTTGGAACGCATTTCCCGACCCTACTTTCAGTGTCCCAATTCCGGCCCAGGACGGCACCTACATGGCCGAGACCTTAACCAACGATTTAGACAACATGGAATGTAAGTTTTGATGGTTTTTTGTAGTTGAGGATATTAGGGAACTGTTCGGATTGTTGTCACTGGTTTTGGTGGTTCTGCAATTGATTATTTTATTTTCAGATGTTGCTCCAATGTTTCACTGCCCTACCCCAAATGTTTACCACCCATTTTTCGCTATGTAAGTTGTTTCACCCTTGATTTTTGCCTGCTTTTTCTCAAACTACATGATATATATTTTCAGAAACCTAAACATCACCTTCACTCCCGCCACACCCCTTTCCATTCGCAACACCCATTCTTCCCTCCCACTCGCACCACTATCCTCCCCCATCACACTCTCTTCAGGATGTAAGTTTTGTGGTTTATTAGTAGTTGAGGAAATTATAGTGAGGGACCTGATCCGATGGCAAAAAACGTCTCCTTTTGCATCCCGGAAGGGGCCAAAATGACCCCAAACCATTCCCTTCTGTAAGCTGAAAAACTCCGTTTTGAAAAGCGCGCCCTTTTCTTCAAGGAGGACTCTTCAATGCGGGGTTTTTTAGCTTAGAGAAGGGGAGGGTTTGGAGACATTTTGGTGCCTTTCGGGATGCAAAATGAGACGTTTTTTGCCATTGGATCCGGTCCCTCACTGTACAGATGGCTTGAGATTATTGTCAATTCTTTTTTGAGTGTTCTTCAATTTATTCTTTTAATTTGCAGATATCCCCAAGCCCCATGCAACGGATACCTTTAAAAAAGAAAAAATTAGTAAAAAAAGAAAAAAATTAAATAAAAAATATACAATAAAAAAAATAACAATAAAAAATAAAGGAGAAAAAAGAAAAAATAGAAAAAGAAAAAAAAAAAAAAAATAAAAAAAATATAAAAAATAATTTTGTTTAAAGTGACTCTTATTTTTCTCTTGTAAAATGTGATTCGCCTATTAGTTTACGACCCCTTTGTAATAATGTAAGTTGTCATTTAGTTCTTGAATTTATCCTGGATTTTTCTTAAATTATATGATCTATATTTTCAGAAACTCAGTTCTCAAACCAGTGGATCTTTGGAGCACATTTCCCGACCGCTACTTTCAATGCCTCAACTTCGGCCCAGGACGGCACCATGGCCGAGACTCAAACCAACGTCAGAAACAACATGGAATGTAAGTTTTGATGGCTTTTTTTGGTAGTTGAGGAAATATTAGGGAATTCTGCTTGAGATTGTTGTCACTTGTTTTTTTAGTTGTTTTTCAATTTAATATTTTTTTGTTTTCAGATATTGCTCCAAGATTTCACTGCTCTACCCCAAATGTTTACGACCCATTTTTCACTATGTAAGTTGTTTCACCCTTGATTTTAGCCTGCTATTTCTCAAACTATATGGTATATATTTTCAGGAATCTAAACATCACCTTCACTCTCGCCACACCCCGTTCCATTTGCAACACCCATCCTCCCCTCCCACTCGCACCGCACCCCTCCTCCGTTCCACTCCCACCACACTCCTCCCCCATCACACTCTCTTCAGAATGTAAGTTTCATCGTTTATTAGTAGTTGAGGAAATTACAGATGGCTTGAGATTATTGTCAACTCCTTTTCGAGGGTTCTTCAATTTATTCTTTTTATTTGCAGAGATCTCCAAGTCCCATGCAACGGATACCTTTAAAAAATCGAAAAAAATAAAAAAAAGTAAAAAAAAATAAAAAAAAGAAAAAATTAAAAAAAAGAAAGAAAAAAAAGAAGAAAGTTAAAAAGAAAAAAAATTAAAAAAAAAAGAAAGAAGAGGCCACATCACTTCCCCTCCCACCACCACACTTCTCTCACTCTCCCCCTCCCCTACCACACCCACCACCCTCCTTCCCTCTCCCTCTCCCTCTCCCTCCCCTTCACCCAATCATCATGGCTTGCTTTGATGATTAAAGTAAGTTGTTTTTTTACCAATTGTAGGCCTTTATTCTCGTCATGAGTCCAGATACTGCCAATTCTATTTTTAATGTTATTTATTTTCATGGAAACCATCGAGAATCCGTTCCTTGGAGCCCTGGAGAAGTTGGAGAAATCAACGGTGTCCTGAAGGTCTGCAGAAGATAAGAAAGGTATGTTAATTGGGAGTGATAGAAGAATCGGGTATTAGAAGGGGACACTAGGAACATTCTAAGTGAAAACGCGTTTAGCTGTGTAAAAGCCAGTCATTACGACATATTTTTTGAATGGTTACGGCAGTGACGAGGGGTTTTCTAAACTCTGATTTTTACTGGTATAAACGGGTTAGACATGGGTTTAAAAGCTTGCAAAGTCTTGATAGGTGCTGTTTTGTGATTGATCATTTTGGAATACGCATTTGTCTTCATGGAAGTATGTTAAGAAACTGATGTTTTTTGTGATTTTTTCGGAAGAATTTTAGAATTTCTTGCTTTTTTTTGACAATTAAAGGAATTAAAATATGTAAGAGGTCGTAAAAAGAAACTTACACGGAGTAGTTACTAGTCTTAGCCACTAGTCATGTCATCATGACGATATTGTGCTACTTTTATATTGTTCATGAGATGAATAACATGAAATTTCCCATTGATTAATATATTCTTCTTCCAGAATGGCCACTTTGTTATGGTCGACGAGGAAGCTGGAGTGATTGAAAGCGAAGAACAAGCTGCATTCCACGGAAACGGACGGCATCTCTGAGGATGCACAGTGCAATTGTTTGGAGGTAAGCAAAGTTTTGTTAATAAAGGGGAACTTTGGCTGATCTAGGGCTAGAAATCCGTTTGATTTTGGATTCAAAAGATGTAGATCTACATTCGTCCTCATGACGGATTTTATTATGGTATCCAACGCGTGGGAGTAGTCGTTTCTTTGTGAAGTTTTAATCTCTGTAGTGTAATATTGAATCCTTTTGAGGGGTAAGTGGTGATAAAAGGCACTTTTTTACTCCAGCTTCTATCCCTATTTCAAGTATTTCTCCGCCAATAATGCACCAATTTCCATTAAATCTATGTCAAATTGAAGCTGAGGTTCCCCATTTTCTGTCCACAAAATATGGCAGGCCCAAGTTCAAGGAGGCTCCTGTATTGACCCTCGACATTTTCATTCCAAATTTTGGAGCCCGAAATTGGTGAAACTTGGAAAATTTTTGCAATGAATTTCAATTGAGTTCTCGAACTTGGAAAATATTCGAGTCTTTGGCTAAATAAGCCCGCACTTCGTACTTCCGTAAACCTTAATTTTTAAAAAAATTCCGTCGAATCAGGTGACTTTGCCGGAAATCCAAAAATTTCCCAAGTCTGAGAAACTCAATTGAAAATCATTCCAAAAATTTTCCAAGTTTCACCGATTTCGGGCTCCAAAATTTGGTATGAAAATGTGAAGGGTCAATACGGGAGCCTCCTTGAACTTGGGCCCGTCATATTTGGTGGACAGAAAATGGGGTACGTCAGCTTCAATTTGATGTAAATTTTATAGAAATTGGTGCATTATTCGCTGAGAACTACTTGAAATAAGGATGGGCTATTTAATTCGTCGTCATGACGGATTTTTTAGCTCTCTGGTGTAATATTTGATCGTTTTGAGGGTAAAAGTTGATAAAGACGCTGGTTGCTCCATGAATTGTCTAATTTAGTGGTAAAGGACTTGATTATGAAAGATTTGTAGGGGCTTTATGTTGTTGATGAGATAGTTAAATTCAATTTTCAAATTTTTCCATTTGTAATAAAACATTGCTTCTAGGTCGCCCGTCCAAGTTTATGTATGAATGACAATTGGTATAAGCTTGAAGGAATTTGAGTGTGGAGCGGTGGATGTCAAGAACGTCATTTAGTCTGCAAAATGCAAGAAAATTAAAAAGTAAGCGGCGGTTTTTAAACTGATCTTAAATCCCGTTGGTGGATTACAGGGGTATTCCGATCAAAGATCAAGTAAATTAGTATTTTTTAAAATTGAATTATGGGATCGTGACAGCTTTTGACCCACTTATTTTGTCTCTGACATCAGGTGTCTTTCGGTTTGACGTTTTGGTCTCTAATGTGAAATAAGGGGGATAAAGTAAATTTTAAATACGATAAAAGTATATAACTACTATTTTTCTCGGAAATTTAGTCACTATGAGCGCAATTTTTCGAGGTCCCTGTATTACTCATGAGATTGTTGAACTTATTTTTGATTTTTTAGTCTTCTAATCTCCATTTTCTTACAGATTCCTCTCCCATTAAGCCTGTCCAGTCAACTTTCCAGCCAAGAAGAAGAAGAATAATCTACGATTTTAATTTTACCTATTTGTTTCTTTTTTATATTGTCTTGCTTGCTTTGAAAGGTGTAGGGGGAATGGGAGAAAAGGGCGGAGAAGGTAAGTAATCGGAATTGGGTTGAATGGTGCTGATGCTGTAGTTGGACAACCTAGGACGAAATTATTATTACTGGGCCGGTAGAGAGCACATATCTTAGAGATTGATGGTTTAGTCTGGAAGTGGGGGGCGCTACCGCGTTTCGGGTCAGGGGCAAATCGCGTCACGACAGGTCGGGTCGACGGTACCGTTTAATATTTTTGCTTCGGGACTTGGAGAAAAGGATTTTTTTTGAGAATTTGAACAAATTTTTGAAATTTTTTCGCTTCGGGACTGGAAAAAGTGTTTTCTGGAGAAGTAAGGTTTATCTTCGATTTTTTTCGGAAAATAGTGTCTTTAAGCGACGAGCAAATCAGAAAATCGTATCCATTGTTTATGTTTTTAACTAGAAGCACGGGATTTTATCCCGAAGCGAAAACAGTTCAAAATTTTGTTCCAATCCTCCAAAAAATCTTTTTTTCCCTAGTTCCGAAGCGAAAATATTAAACGGTATCGTTGACCCGAACTGTCCCTGACCCGAAATGTCAGGACGCGGAAGTGAGGGGTACCTAGAATTCTTTTAGTTTTTGGCTCTGAAAGGCGTTGAATTATGGCTCGACCGAATTACTCCTATCCACTCGGGCATTGGGCATTTTCGACCTAGGAGACTGGCATCGTGGAAGGGTAGGATGCAAACGTAGGAGGGGAATAGGGCCAGGAAGAAGAGTTGGGTTAGTGAGGGTTGCTTATCCTTTGTTCGGCCGTAAAAGCGCCAGTACTGTCGGTATTGTATTGTTTGAATCGTGTGTCAAAGGGACGTTTGGAGGTAGGAGTACAACTCGTTCCAGAAAGTGCGTGGACCTTTCGCCGCAAAATTTCCGCACTTTGCGTTTGACCTTTGCAACGTGCGATTCAAACGTCGCAGTGACGTAGGCTTTTTTCAACTACGTCGCCGCGCATTTTGGGCGCGTGACAAAGATTTCACGGCACAAAAAAAGAAGAAAAATGCACTGTGCGCCGCGAAAAAATGCCTACGCACTTCCTGGAACGACTAGGAAAGGGGGTGTTTCGTAGCTTGCTATTGTTAGTTTACAGGGGAAGTACCCCAAGTGCGACGCTCAGATTTTTTTCAAATTTAGAACACACATCGGTCATGGACTAAGCATTAATTCCTGGAAGTTTTAGCTCGCGCTTTGCAAGTGCAGCCGAGAGGGTTGAACGATCTCTCTCGGAGAGCGGACAGAGAGAAAAACGCTTTTTGGCCATAACTTTGGCAGTTTCGTGCGGAAAAAATTGATTTTTTGTGGAAACATTACCCTCAATGATAGAAATAGGCTTAAAACTTTTCGTGCCAAAATTCGGCAAAAAGTGTCATATTTTCGCCAACTTTCGATCTAAAAATCTCGGTTGTCTCTGCAAAGCGCGAGCTAGGATTCTCGCATATATTTTAGAAAAAATTACTCTAAATTTGTGCCAAGTTTCATTAAAATCTGAGCGCCGCACTTGGGGTACTTCCCGGTTGGGTTAATGTGGGTTTTTTATTCGTTATCCGGCCGTAAAAGCGCCATTTCTATCGCCATTGTATCGTCTGAATTGTGTCTTGAAGCCAAAAATGGCAGATTCATCAGCGAAGGCAGGGATCCAGTCCCGAACGCAGAACCAACCTGCCACTGGTCAACGAGTTCCTGTGATCCGCTGGCCATGTCTTCGACTTCCAGACCCGTAGGAGCGGCACTCTCCATTCTTGTTCCTCCGGCTGGCCGGCCTCATCCATTGCAAATTGGGCAACGGGACGCTTGGCGACTATATGTAGAATTTTCTCGCCGTTAGCGGAAGAGTTCTACGTTCTGGTCGGAACCAGGTTTTGTGGAACATTCCCACAATAGCGTAGAAAAAGCGGTTCGAGAACGAACGTCTTGGACAGAACCAGAGATTGCCACGGTCAAAATTTTGGCTCCTGCTCTTAGCTCCCAGAGCCGGAGCCGAGGCCAAATTTGCAGCTCCGGCTCTTGGCTCCGTGCAAAATTTAAAAAGGCCTCCGGCTCCGAATCCCGGCTCCTATGCAAAATGTTTTTTTTAAAATATTTTTCCAAAAATAAAAGTTATTAGTGCCAGAGATCACACAGCCAACGTTTCTGCAGTCAAGTCACATCCTCCGCAGTGTTTTTTCAAGCAATTTGGTTTAACAAGATCACGAAATTTTTACTTTTCTGACCGCTGGAAAGCCTGGCTCCGACTTTGGGCTCGGGAGCCGGAGCCGACCCCAAAATTTCCGGCTCGGGGCCGGAGCCGCTCAGAGCCGGAGCCAAGAGCCGGCTCCGGAGCTGTGGCAATCTCTGGACAGAACCCATGTTTAGACAAATGACCGACATCCCACGGGCATCTCAGTCTTTAACACGGCGGTATGAGCCACGAAAGAAGCGGAATTTTCGGGGTTCGTCGTGTATGTACAAGAAATTTCTGTGCCCTTACCAGCGCAATTTAATTTTTGTTTGGATCTCTGATATTATTTTTGGTCGTATTTTAGGAAATTCTTTTAACATATAACAATTAGACATCTGAAAGCTTTTCTCTTCAAATTACATGTTTTAAATTCTCGCTTCATAAATTTTTGCCACCTTTCTTCAACTTTTGGTACAATTTTACCTTGTCGTCGTGATTACGACAACAAGCTCATTTAGAACGCCCACGACAAAAAACGTTCGCAGAATGTTCCTCGACGAAGGTGGCCCAGTGGTCCCAACTGCTAATCCAACCCTTGAACCGTTCTATGGCCTCTATTCGGATGATGCGTATGGAGATGCAAATCGAAAACCAAGAGACGTATAATTAAAATGGGATTTTATTGCGAATAAATTCTGCATACAGTCATTTCTTGTAAAAGATTCGAAGCTTTGAGGATGAAGTATCTGGAGAAGGATGGTTAAAGCAATATAGTTTGCAATGATATTATATGAGTAATGTAAATTGGATAATGAGATTTTAGCACGGCAAGTTTCAGCTTTTTTGGAATCAAATTACGCCCACACTGGAATACTCCTAGACATCAGTTTGAAAAAAAAGTGAATTAGTGATGAAAGAGTGAATTGACATGACATATACCATTCGAAAGGTCACCTCATTAGATTTTAGCACGGCAAGTTTCAGCTTTTTTGGAATCAAACTACGCCCACACTGGGCGAAATACTCTGTTATTATACTAGGCACCAGTTTAGAAAAAAAGTGAATTAGTGATGAAAGAGTGAATTGACAAGACATACACCATTCGAAAGGTAATGGCATGAGATTTTAGCACGGCAAGTTGCAGCTTTTTTGGAATCAAATTACGCCCACACTGGGCGAAATACTCTGATATTATACTAGGCA